TGGAGGGTGGTGAGTGAAGGATCAGGAGAGGCAGTGGGAGATAGAGAGTGGTGCGAGGCCCTAGGGAGGAAATGGAAAATCCTACTGTTCGAGGTACAGTATTTAAAAATAATAATTATGAAAAGAGCATTTCCGCTCTACCCATAATAACAACCGACTAGGAATGTGCATATTTAGCATTTTCCGTTAAAAAATCTGGTTTTGGCTCCAAATTCGCCATTAATATGAGCGTTTATCTTTGTTCATATATGCTTTGTATACTATATCCTATCAAGCTGCGATCTGGACTCCGGAGGCGCATGGCAGAAATCCTTCGATCCGAAGAGAAATGTGAGTCACATCGGGCTCCACGGGGAAAGGTGAAGGGTCATGGGCCCACCCCAGTCACCAAGCTCATAGGGTAAACGCATATGTATATTAAGGGAAAGTAGACCAGTTATGCATGGATTCTTGCATCAGCAGTACATCTCCAAGTTCATTCTAACCAGGCCTCGAATCACAACCATCCTATCTTCCTACTACAGCAATTCCTGTATAAGGCCAACAAACTAAATATATGAGCCTGTAAACATGGAAACTCGTGGAACGCCAATATGAAAGCGTATTCTCGTTTTTTCCTCAAGCGACGAAGACGGAACTAGTACTTCCATTAGGAGATGCTAGTCGCAAGGGCGAGAATTCTGACCGCGACCTCTTAGCATTGTGGGGGAGGGGGTATGCTAGTCTTCCAAGCTTCCGGCGACAAACTCACAATTTTGTGAAAAGCACATGAACAAATAAGACCGCTCTTAAGCGAAATTATTCAAGTTAGCAGGGAGCAAGGAGTCTGTTCCAGGGCCAGATTTACTGAATATAAATAGGCGAAATCGCGTAGCAAGAGACGCCTCGTGAGAGGAACGCCAAGCAGCTGGATACGGAGCAAAACAAATTTGCAACGAAAATAACAAGATTTCAAGTGGGTCACTTGGCTACCCAATCTCAGGTAAGTTCTCAGGTCCAATCATCTCCGCCCACCTCTGCCTCCTCCCTTCCCTTCCTGAAACTGTGCCAAGGAGTGGGAGTTGCAAAGGGGAGGACGAGCCTAGGGGCACTTAAAATCTCGATCAGGCAATGGTCCGTTCTGTTAAGGCGGCGGTCATACACGAGAAACCATTTTCTCTAAACTGGTTTCGGGAAACCAGTTTCGCAATATTTTCGCAGTGTGTGCTGAAATACTAGTTTCGCGAAATCATTTTCTCAGTTTCGTAAAGCCAAAATTTGGTTTCGCAGCTTTTCTATTTTTCATTCAGGTTCTGAGAAATCGAAGGTGACATGGGAGGAGAACTTGCATTGCGTCGGGGCGTGTTCAAGAGAGTTTGTGGAATGTTGATCGCGAAGAGCATCAATAAGGTGGTCAGACCACAGAAACTGGATGAAATTTAAAAAATACTGAACATCAGTCGAAGTAAGGTGAAAAATAAATCCCTGAAGGTTTATTTTATGGAGCGGAGAAAGGCGGAAGCTTCGAAGAATTCAGGCACATGTAGATGCAGGATACAAGTAAAAAATTAAATTAAACTATTCTTCCGATAGCTTGCCTTGGAATACCACAGGAATATCGAACTCATGTAAAATTCTCCTATGAAAGCACAAAAAAATATTCCGTAGGTAAATCTGTAGAGATCGATCATACATTGATCAATTGATAAATACATTGTGACTTACCGGTTGCCAGGAGCCTCAATGTCACAGCCAAGAGAATATTAGCAGGTATAGCAGATCATTTCCATGATCGAATCTTGTTCGTTGACTGCTGGCTCAACGCTCCAGCAGCTCCTCAGAGCTTTGTAGACTCATCCACAAAAAATTAATGAAGGACTCTGATAGCAGGTCTCGAATTAATGACTCATAACCATGAATATATCGCGCACATCTCTAATCTTTCATCAAGTTTCCCTTTTCTTTTACAGCTTGCTTGAACAATGATTGCTGCTTTAAAAAAAAAAAAAAAAAAAAAAAAACAATAATAATATTTAAAAAATTCACTTCGTCCAGGTACGGCAAGAAGCTGGGAAACTGAACCACATGTGCGTGAGGATTCAACTTCAGAAACTTCCTTGTGGGACGAATCATACACGTGATGATACACAATGAGTCGAAGCAGGCTTCACCAGTGAGCGGCGCCAAATTTATGCCATGTGCTCCATCTAATGGAGCATAGCATGTACCATACATGTATGAAGGAATTTGAAATGAAATCAAAACCATTTTTCAATGGCTTTTCCTTGTCTTCACCTCCACCCCATCCCTCTTCTCTACGGGGCTCACTTACGTTAGGCCTAGGCTAAATCCACGGACTGTCTTCAGGTCAGGCTAGGGGCAATCTTATTTCCTTCAAAAAAAATCTCAACACTGGACCAATTAACTGAGACCTATAGGGGTCAGTGTCAGGGTTTTCGAGACATTAACCTGAGTTTCTCAATCCTTCTCGACTAGGTCTGGGGAGAGCATGTCTCCGAAATTCAAATGCACGTTGAACGCCATTCTGTTAACCTTTTCCTTGGCAGTGGGAGGTTTATGTACTTCCCAGAAAACGTTCGACCCTCTCCGTGCTCTGGGAAGGCTGCACAAAAGAAAATTTGCCCACGAAAGGGTTTATTCAGAGATGTCTGCACACAATATTTCCGTATCCTACCACATCAGTCAGCCACCGCTAGCCACCGTTTCCTGGGGGACGGGACTGGAGCACCCCTAAGCTAAGCCAATTAACTAAAACTAGGCTAAGCTAATTTCATTTTTCACAACGAAATGGTCCTGGTGCACTGGGCCCAATTTGCAGAGGGCAAACGGCCCATCAACAACAACATAGCGAAATGCACACAATCACAAGCAACAAAAAGGACACTTTTCCTGATTTACAAGTCAACATCCTTCCTTTCGCGTGGTTGACTTCTCCGAAAAATCCCTAGGAGAGGCTACCCGGGGGGGGGGGAGAAAAAAATATATATATACTGGAATGAAATTCACACCTTCAAGAAACGAGAGTGTGTTCTCCGCAACCCCAGAGAGTTGGAACTGCTACATTTGCTGGTGTGATTTTGTGTAGAGGGTAAGACACATGCCCAATTTCGTTCATCTAAATGCTCTCGGAGGAATACGAGTGGCAGTGGCGTATTTCACGTGTGGCGCCCCCTTGGAGGTAATACAGTCGACGCTCGATATAACGAACCTCAATATAGCGAAATTTTTTTAACCTGCCCCTTCGAGTTCGTTCTATCGAGCGTCAACTGTAATTTTCTCTTGGTATCGCTTGGGTGGATTTCTTCCCCCCCCCCCCCCCCCCCTCCGACTCATCAGCCAAAATACGCCACAAGGTGGTTGAATTTTGTAAAGGGAATAAGTGCAACAGTGCCTGTTGATGTATTGGGTTGGAAAGAAAGTCTTGCAACACTTTCTAAAACTATTTATAAAAATTTTCAAAGGAATGATGGGCGGGGCTTTGCATTTGTATATGCTGGAATGTTCTCGAAGCTTCTGCCCTCGGGATATATATAAAGCGGCTTCTGCCATTAGTTGGCAGCCATGGCTCCGATCGAATGAGCAACTCTTCGCCCCATCGTCTACTACGAGCTCCTCCAAGGACACTCTGCGAGAGCCGCCGCGGACAACATCTGCGCTGCATTCAAGGGCAACGTCGTCCACTATTCCACGGTGTCTCGATGGTTGAAACGCTTGGAATCTGGCGACACGACCTTCGGAGATCGACCACGCTCAGGACGTCCATCTACAGTCGATGACGAAGCCCTGCGGAACGCCCTCGACGCGAAGCCGAACGCCACCACTCGCGAATCGGCGACTACACTTGGAGTCACCCATATGGCCATCGGCAACCATCTGAACGACCTCGGCTATCGGAAGGTTTACTCGACATGGGTCCCTCATCGGCTCGGCGACTCTGACAAAGCAAGCCGTGTCGGTGTCTGCGAATCACTGCTCCTTCGTCCGCACAGAAAGGACCTTCTGAAGGAAATCGTTACTGGAGATGAGAGCTGGGTCCTCTACGTCAACCATACTCGCAAGTGACAGTGGCTTCCACGAGGAGAATTGCCGCCACACGAACCGAAACCAGGGTTCCACGAGAAGAAGGTTCTTCTCTGCTGTTGGTGGGATTCAGAAGGAATGTTGTACTATGAGCTCCTGCCAACCGGTACCACCGTGACTGCCGTCGTCTACGCTGCTCGACTTCAGAAGTTGGCTGGCGTCATTCAAAAAGAGCGTCCCAAACGCGACAAAGTTCTCCTTCTGCATGACAACGCTCGTCCACGTGTTGCGAAGATGACTCGCCAGACGATTTCGGAACTGGGCTGGGAAGTTTTACCCCATCCAGCGTATTCTCTGGACTTGGCCCCTTCCGACTATCACTTGTTCCGGGCCCTAAGAATCACCTGCGGGACAAGGCCTTCGACGATCGAGCACAGCTCGAAAATGATGTCGGCCGTTTCTTCGCTTCGCAATCGCCAGAGTTCTGGGCAGAGGGCATCGAGCAGTTACCCATGCGTTGGGAACATGTCATAGACAACAATGGTCATTACATTGTAGACTGAAATTGCATTTCAATAAAGTTATAAAATTTTGAAAAATTTGCGCAGAGTGTTGCAAGACTTTCTTTCCAACCCAATAGACATCGTCAAACTGTTTCGCCAGTGTGCGACCAGCCTAAATGTTATGGCTCCAGACATGGTTTGGAAATACTCACTAATATGGCCACGATACCCTTGTAGCATTTCAGTTCGATACTATCGAATTCCATAAGAAGTGAATTGAAATACTTCCCGAGCAGGACACTGCTTTGAAATTATGATTTTAAAAAATTTACATGCAAGTAGAAATACTCCTCCAAAAATACTGTACAACTCGTGCTTGTCCCACCATTAGAGAAATGATGCTGAAATTCATTTTCATCCTTCTGCTGTAACGTCAAGTTTCAATCTCTTGCAAAAACAATCAATATTATATCTTGAGTTGAAGAAAATAACTTTATTCAAACTAGATCATCACTCATGATGGGGACAGACCAACGACCCTGGTGACCTGATCCCAGGTCTCCCTAGCGACAGACTCAGCTTTTCTAGCTCCGGATTTTAGGGTGTCCCTCAAATACTCAGGATCATTGAGATAATCTCGGATTCTGGACTGAATTGGTTGAAGAAATCCTATGATATCCTCTGCCACAACTCCTTTATATTTCCCCGTGTCCATTCCATGACTGTTCACACGTTCCACTATGTCCTGGATGGTTTCCCCTGAGACAAGGGAGTGAAGGAGGAGCAGATTACTCACACCGGCTCTCTTCTCAGGCTCGTAAGAGAGGCGAGAGATGAAATCTGTCACAGCCTTCTTCACTTTTTCCCTCACAAGATCTGGAGGATCCGTCAGGAGAATCCGACTCTTTGGATCCGCCTCGGATTTGGACATTTTCTTCTCTGGACACCTCAGGCTCCGGATACGACTCCCTCCTTCATCCTCTAAGACAGAATTGGAATATCATCCTGACCTATTATGACCTATGACCATGTATATGAAGGCATGAGAGGTTCTGTGAAAGAAAGACAGACCGAGGATGAGAGACGAGGGGCGTGGGAAGAGGGACGAGTGGAATCGGGTATTGAAAGTCCTCCCTAGGTGTTGGGCCAATTGAACGTGCTGCACTTGGTCAGACCCCACAGGCACCAACTCCGCCCTCAAAAACCCAAACAAAGAAATATCTCACCCTCCATAAATGGAAACTTCAGAACCAGAAAGTTATCAATCGATCTGCTTCAACTTAAAGGTGTCGGCGTTTTTTTTACAGCCTGTGAATCTAGCTATCGACCATTTCACGACCACGATTTAAGTACCGATATCGAAAGATACGCATCTTTCATCTCTTTCAACGTCAAAGAATGACGGCTGGAAAAGGGAAATCAGAGGATATTAAAAACAAAGTATGTCCGGATCAAATAAATAAAAAAAAACACGAATTTTTTATGAGGGGGGTCTAGGGCGCATGAGCCGGACCTTTTATGACCCCGACCTGCACGATGAGAGAGAGGGTTGGGAAAGATAACCTCATTCGAGAGAAGCCCCTCTGGACAGTGGATTTCTGAGCCAACATCAACGCTGGACTGCTTCATTTCGTGTTCATATCTTCGTGAGCGTAAGTTGCAACATCTACATCCAAGTTATACTCCTAGTATGGGATAGGGGAGCGGTACCAATTCGCGAACAGGGATCCAGTTAGCGAACGAGGGTCATGAAATGCAATTTGGTCTTTTGTTTCTCGAGTTACACGCTCCAGCTTTTGGTATCTGCAGAAAATGGATTGAATGATTAATTAATGCTTGGGATGGAGAGTGAAACTAGAGTAACAAAAGACCAAATCGCATTTCATAACCCTCGTTCGCTAACTGGCTCCCTGTTCGCGAACTGGTGCCGCTCCCCTAGCATGTTCTGACTTCTTGGCTGTCACATAATACACTTTGGACTCCGCAAAAAACGGACGAATCGAGTGAAAAAGGAGAACCTTTCTTCTATCAATTAAGTACATCTTGCAGAGCTTGTTAATGAGATTATCACGACAAAGGAGAGACATGATGCACTCTCCTTGCACAAGAGTAATCATGCCTGAAAATGGTGAGTTCTCTACTGACCCTACTGTATTTCACTACATCAGGTGTATCGCCAAGGATTCGTTTTGCACGCACAGAAGTCGGAAATGCGAAAAATAGTATCATTTGTGCATGGTTTCAAAACGAGGATATCCGAGAATCACGTGTTGATCCTTGTCATGTAGTGACAATGTCAGTAAAAATCCCTTCTGCATCGCGCACTGCTTGGCCATCGATAAAATAGAAGCCTTTGCGATTGATAACAGTTGGCTGGGCATTCTATTTGAATACGGCAGTCGTTGATGGCACCGATCATTCCTGGAAATCCAGCAATATCAAATAATTGTCTTCGAACAACTACTCTATTTTTCCTCCTGGAAATGTTATGAGTGATGCAAATGAGCAATGGCCTGCGCCATTCCATTTCTAGGAATCAATACCACATATAATCGAAGGGTCAGCAGTACATGCAAATCAAAAGGCTATCGTGACATTCTCTTTACTTTCGGGTCATAATAATTAATTACTCAGGGGATGGGTACGTGAATAAATCACGATTTATTGCATGTGAATCGTGATTGTTCTTATCTATTGGTGTAAAGTTAGGGGATCCCTTCCCCTTTTTTAGTTCCTTTTGAGTTCGGTGCTGAGCAGGTCGACATCATTCACTGACATACATACATACATTTTCTAGGCCGCTTTTCCCAATTTAATGGGGTTCGAGCATCCCCAGGAGCGTCCTCCAGTGATCTCGATCCTGGGCAACAGACTCGAGCTCAGCTGGTGGGATGCCGAGCCTCTCGTGACAAAGCCGAGCGACGTAATCACTCCACCTTGTTAATGCTTGGGATGGAGAGTGAAACTAGAGTAACAAAAGGCCAAATCGCATTTCATAACCCTCGTTCGCTAACTGGCTCCCTGTTCGCGAACTGGTGCCGCTCCCCTATATGCCAATGTCTATTTCTGTTTCCACATTTTTTTATGGCCGTCAAAAGTCGCTGCAGCGTATCCCCTCCTTCCAAGCTACAAACCTTCCTTACGCTCCCTTGCAGGAAATCATTTCTAAAGCATGAAACGCTGACTTCGCTCACCAGACCCACTCCGAAATCTTTTTGAGCGGACTACGTATATAAAATGCTCTGGCTTATTTTTACTTTTCTTTTTTGTTCCCTATTGTTTGAAACTTATTTGTTTCTGTCCCACTTTCATGTGTTCGTGCAATACCCAAATGAACATAGCGACTTCGCTGTCCAAAAGTAGCGGAAGCAGCTAGTCTTGTCCAAGATGATCGTAAGCGGATGTCCAAGGATGCCTAACATTCTAACTTCTGGACATATTCATTGTGGCCTTTCAGGATAACGCTGGTTGCACCGACTATGATGAGAACGATGGCGGTCTTCATTCCACACAACTGCTCGACTTCGATTTCAAGTTCAGAGCGCTTGCCCAGATCCTCTCTGGTCCTGACATGAAGTTTGGTGTTAACCTGAAGAAATGTAGGGCAGTGCTTTGTAAATCGTGAGGTCTGGTCTGTTGTAATAGGCGTGTCCTAGTGTCTTATCGTAAAATAATTATCCACTAAGGTTTGCTGTTGGCGTTCGTACTACTTCTCTTGGACATAAATGCCAGAATGTTTGCAGATACACAAGTTAACACATCTGTACATCTGGTTGTTTCTGCACAAGTACCGTTGTACTTTTGTAAATTCGGAACAAGCATTTCAAAGATGGAAAACTGTTTCAGACGGGTCGTGAATGTATCAACAGCGGCCTTCAATTTTCCATCTTCATGATGTATTGAAGATGAGCTTTTTGTTGTACAGGCTATGGCAAAAAGAACGACCAACGACTTTTAACCTAAATATCTCCGCTCAAACTAGAGTTACTTTAGCGAAAAGTTTCACTTTCACTATGCATAGATGAGTCTGTTTCCTACTGATTCTCTAAACTTCATCAAAGTTTTGTTGGGACGAAGCAATCCTATCAGCATTTACTAAAAATAAGTTAGATATTGAGAAAGGACTAAAGCTTCTGGTGGTAGTGAATATGAGGAAATACTGGTTAGAATTTGGAATGTCTTCTTTTCTTTCATACCAAATGAGTTTTGCAAAATTCTTTTGATAAAATCAAAATCATGACTAATATTATGGCTTTCTAACCGAATTAAAATTAGTCAATTTTTATAAAGGAGAAAAGGAGAGCCATTTCCTGAGACATAATAAACACAAAAATGCGACAATGGAAGTCACCATGAAGGTCATGTTGAGCATTGTTTTCATTGATTTGAAAATTTTCTATTGTTACTTGCTTTGTTCTACACTGTCTGTCTATATTCATTTTAAAAATAAAAAATGAATATTTTAAGTACAGCATTATCCTCTTCTAAGCGGAGTAACTTTTGCCTGTTTCTAATATCGAACTTTTTGAGAAATATTAATTTCGGTTGCGATTTTATCAAAAGAATTTTGGGAAACTTAGCCGGTACGTAAGAGAGGAAAACTTTCATATTCTAACCAAGTTTTGGGAATATATGGCTAAAGGAGTCCTTAGACAGAGAGACTCAATAATTGGTCTTCGCCATACCCTATTGCTCTCGTCTGTCATGTTCTCCTCCGTACACCTAGGGAAACTGAATGAACTCGAATAAAACTCTCTGAACTGATATTCGTTAATTCATCTGATATTCATAGGGAAAAAGTTCATGAAAACCATCTGCAGGAGACGATCAGCCCAAAGAATGAATTTAAATGGAAGAGGAGTTCAACATGGTCTTCATGACCGGGAAGGACAGTGTTCAAAGATTTCCTCCACTCCCATATCAGCAGAAGTTCTTGTCTATTCTCAATATCTAACGTCTTTTCAATAATTGATGATATCCTCATCGCTCAAAAAAAAAAAAGCACGACTAAGAAAGAGTTGAGCGATCTTGATGAAAATTGGTACACAAGCTCATACTAGCATACCATGAAATTGATTAAAATTTCAAGTGTGTGGAATGAATAACTCGCTAGGGCCACTCGCTAAGTGTAAAACCCCACTCGCTACGGCCTCTCTATTAGAGTAACATCCCTTACTAGCGAGTACTCGCCTGAAGTATGAAATCTTCAAACTCGTAGCGAGTGCTGTGTTACACTAAGCGAGTGGCCCTAACGAGCACTCGCCTAGTGTAACAGAGCCTTTAGGGTGTTTCATCCTTGGAGAGCAATTGTGATGCATATATATCATCTTCATGCATCAGGCTGATGCATGCACCGAATTGATGCGTGGTAAACACATCCCAGTTACCCTACATCGATGAAACACCCTAACAGCTCGTTGAAATTGCCGCCAGAGATTTCATCTAGGCACTGCCTCGCAGTTACACACTCAACAACGGCCATAAAGGGAAGCGGCTTGAGGGAAGGAAAAAAAAACGAAACTGGCGCCTTCAATGGCGCCGCCCTTCTGAATTCTTCCTGCATTTAGCAAGTTTTTTCGAATTGCTTTATCTCACGATCTCGAAAATTTGCTCGATTTTTCTGCAAACCTTTATTTTTCCTGCCATGTTTCGTCAGTAAAAAGCACCAAGGTAACAGTTTCGGGCGATTAGTATAACTCCATAGCCACTCTTACGCTAATGTATGAGTATGTTTGTAAGCCGCGTTGCGACGTTACGCAAATAGATACTCTGGCATTTCATAGATCGTTCGAAAGCTAATGGTCAGTAGGTGTGTAACGTGCAATCAGATTTGAAATATCAACCCAGGATGAGATATATGCTGTCAAAAATTTTCACGACAATGCTACTCCCGGTAGAGTCATGCACGAGCCAATTTCCCAGTACCCGACCCGATAGGCCCAATTCAAGCCATGGTCCGCACACAACCCAAAACTCGAATTCCAACCCAACTTCACGGCCCGACTCGACCAAACCCGAGTAAAAATTAAACACGTTAACCTATGCTTTCCTGTGCATGTCCTAATCATTCCAAGTTGCTAGTAAAAAAAAGTGGTTTTGCTTCCAAGTATTGAGTTGGCTCCGTCAGACCCGACGATGCCTCTCACGATCAAACGGCGACAGTTTCCAACCCGTGTTGCTCCAGCCATGACTATCAACAAGAGTCAAGGGCAGACATTCAAACGAATTGGATTGTGCTTTCCTGAATATGTATTTCCCCACAAACAGTTGTACTTAGCCTTCTCAAGAGTACGGCGCTTGCAAAACCTTAAGGTGAAGATAGGTTTTGAATTGAAAATATTGCACAAATATTCAAGTTAATTTCTAAAATTACAAGAACATTTTTCGTGTACTTCAATATTTAAAAAAAACTAAGAGACAAAATTTATATTGCTACTTACTGTGGTGGAGTTCAAAACATTTTTCTGTAGACAATATACCTTCGGGCTACTAAATATTTGTGGTAAGATCTGCAAATCGCTGTATTGTCATTTCGCGCAATTTGCGCGGGGCTCCGCTAGTTATGAAGTACTTCTGCAAATGTGCATTTTAACTCCTGTGACAGACTCACATTCAGTATTAGCATTCCTAGTTGATAGGAACATTTGAGATCCTAGAATCAGGATACCAGATGCTGAGACAGTTTGGCTATATTTCACTGCAGTGACCAGTACAGCAACAAGAATGCTGAAGTGAGACTAAGCCATGTAACTTAATATGCAGATTGGAGAAATCATGGAGGGCCATGGAGGCAGGAATGAGACAGGAATGGAAGAGGAAGAAGTGCGGTTAAACAAAGGGCTCTACCCAGTCCTGTCTGCAGTGGGGGGTCTGGTCTTGGTCCTAAACGCCACAGTCTTGGTCATGTCCATCGTGGCTATACGAAGGGACAAGGAACGACGAAGCCCTCAATATTGTTATCTGGGGAGCCTGGCATGCTCAGACCTTCTTCTTGGTTCTGTCACTTTTGCCATATTCCTCAATCAGGAACACCATCTCTATGTCTGCCTTCTTGAAATTGGTTTGTCACATTTCTTCCCTTCTTTTCCATTGTCTTTTGATTCACGAAAGACAGAGTGAAGGAATAGTCTCTTGTTTATAGCCCTGACAGTGATGGGAGGGATGGCATCAATCCTGAACACAACCTTGATTGCAATGGACCGGTATACATATATCATGCATGGGCTGAGATATGAGATCCTGGTGAGCCTACCCAGGGTCTTCATGTCCATTGGGTTGACATGGGTCCTGGCAACCATGATTGGATTCACCCCTCTTATTCATGCCAACCTGGATCCAATTCCTTATGAACGGGATTGGAATGGGAAATGCTGGTTCATTGCTACAGTCCCTGCCATCTATGTCCTCACCTTGGATGCCCTTTATTTCTTCCTTGGTCTTCTCCCAACCCTTCTACTTTATTCCCTCATCATGAGGGAATCTATCCGGCAGAGGAACATCATCAGGAAAATCTCTGAGCTTACTGGTTCCATCGAAGGTTGAAAGTCTGGCATCTTCCTTATTTATGGCCCTTTTATTATCTGAATTTATATCGATTTGTGAATTCACAGAGCCCAATGAGGTGAAAAAAGGCAGAGATGGAAGGAAAGTGAGCCTACTAATGACAAAGGGAAGTCGCTTGGTGAGTGAGATGAGACATATGAGGATGTTGTTACTGTTGATATTGAGCTTTGGATTGTCATGGATCCCACATGCCCTGGCTGGGATTGTGTATATCACAGACCTCTGCCAAGATTCCTGCCCAGAATTGGCTGCTCAGATCACATCTATCTTCTTCCTCTTGGGTCTCATGAACTCTCTCCTCAATCCTTTCATTTATGTCTGGGGATATCAAGAATTCCGGAATCTCTGCCCTATTCCTTGCTGGAATCGATCTTCCCAAAGCTGAAGTCTATGCTTGAAACAACCAGTGTTTCAACCTACAGTCCGAATTAGTTGTGAATGATGCTATTATTGAATGGAACTCTATGACCTAAACATGAATCTCAGCCTGTGCAATTGTTGAGATTATAGTATTTTTGCGAGACAAGCTGAAAACTTAATATGTCCAAAGTAGGGGTGTGCAACTCTTTCGTTCCTAATAACCTGTTATTAGAGATAACAGTAATTCTTCTTTCAGCAATTCTGAGAAAAGAACAGTCAATGGACTCACTTGTATAGAAGGATGTCAGCGCTTTGTAAAACAGGATATGTATAAAGGCCAAGAGGGATGTCCTTCAGGGTTGCACTTTTCTCCTTATACTGGGGGAGTTGACCCAGGCGAGGTAATGTTGTGAGGCATCCAAGAACCCATGCCAAACTCACATGCTCCTTTACCTGTTCCCATGAAAAAGGAACATAGGTCAATGCATTTAGAAGAAAGAAATAATTATTCCTTTCTTCATTATTTCTTCTCCATCAAAACAAGGGAAAAAAATTTACAAAAAAAATTACAACTTTTTGTTCAAAAAGATGTGGCAACCTCTGCTTCATCATAGTGAAATATGCTAGGTTCAATCTCCATGATGTCAGGAGAGCCTCATGATTGTTTGACATATGGCATCTCAAATGAATTGAAAAATTTTTCACCCAGTGCTTCAAATGCACCAATTCTTCTTAGCTGAAGTACTGAAGATCACAGTGAACAAGCAATCAATGCACTGCTCCTTGCCAAGTATGTAACTTGGGTCCACTCCAACATGACTCATCAATTTTTATTACTCCTACATGAGACACTGCTGTGCATGCCCATACCTGGAATTATCTTGGAAGCTGAACTGCATCCTCTTTGGCAGTAGATTATATTATTTTTAAGAGGCCTCTTCCTTTCAGTGAAATGTGAGGAATTCCGTGTTATGAATTTTCCTTAAAACAACAGCTTTAGCCTGTCTCTTCAAGTTCATTATATCAAGTGCTGACAGTACTTAAAATGCAACCAGAACTCAAAGGAACAAAAATGACTTATGATAATAGGTAACAAAATCCAACTGAGACTGCCTGCTGCTTTCAATCAGTCAACACTTGATATAATGAACTTGAAGAGACAGGCTAAAAATGTTGTTTTAAGGAAAATTCATAACGGAATTCCTCACATTTCACTGAAAAGAAGAGGCCTCTTAAAAATAATATAATTTACTGCCAAAGAGGATGCAGTTCAGCTTCCAAGATAATTCCAGGTATGGGCATGCACAGCAGTGTCTCATGTAGGAGTAATAAAAATCTGATGAGTCACCAATGCTGTCTATTTATCAGAAACAAAGTCCCAAATGGTTGTCAGCCATGCTCTTTCCTGGACAATTCTTTGAGTCATGATCTACAGAGCACCCAACGTTTGAAATGTTTTCAGCTCAACATTCAGCCTTTAACTGAAAAATTGCTGAGGACAGTTGAAAGCTTTGATGGCCAGACAGAATTCTGGATCCTACCTGACACTCATCCTTAAGGTTCTGAGAAGATTAGGACATTTTAACTTACAGAGCTCCCTCATTCCCCACAGCCACAGCAATAAGTGGGTGGAATGGGCTAAATTTAGATATGAGATGAGATTTTCCAGGAATGCATGAGTGGCTCTGATGTGTACTACAGACTTCACCTTCATAATATGAAACAGCTTTGTCCCTTCAGACAAAAATATAACTTCATAAAACCAATTTGTTATGCAGAACTTCATTATAGAGAAATTTTTCAACATGCATGTGAATGGACAAAAGGTTGGGAACTGTTAAAAATTTCATAAATGAGAAAAATCATTATATAGAGGTTCATTATATCGAGCATAGACTGTAATTAAACTTTAAAACTTTTCTGCAGACTTAAATTGCTCTACATTCATCTGACCTATACAAAAGAAAACTTGAAGTTCACAGAATGTTGGTAAGGGATATCTTCACAAATAAATGGCCACTCTTTAATTTTAAAAATGTCATGCAATTATAATAACACCAAATAAGAGTAATTTATTTAAAAAAAGAAAACAATTTCATCACCAAGATTGTCAGCCCTGCCATCTTGGCGGGTAAAGTGAAATACCAGGTAAGGAGCAGCAAGCAGAGACCCTGTTTATTATGATTTTGGATACTTCAAAATTTAAAAGTTCTTGCACTTGAAGTATTGTATGAACATATTTTTAAATTATATTTTTAAATTATCAGAAATCTTTCCTTTTCATCTGAGATGTAAGATCAGAGAAAACGTAGGGCTTACAGAAAAACAATAACAGCAGATATATTTTTTTAAAATAAGCTGACAGCTTTATTTTTGAGTAAGTGTAAATGCCACAAAATCTAAATTCTTTCAGTACCTGGCTTTGTGTTATCACATTTCTGATTTCCAGTAATAGTTACCATTACTTTTATCCCCCTCATAAGAATGATTCTATAAAGCACATCAGACTGAATTAGAAAACTTGGGGTTTCTTTCCCCAAAGAAAAAATAAATGAAAAACATAAGTAGCTCTGAAAGATTTTCACTATTATCATATTTTCTACCACCTATCCTCAAGAACACAAGTCATCTGTGAAACCTCCATAGTCATTGACTGACAATTTCAACAGCTGCCAGCAACCTGTAAAATACCATAGCATTTCTAATTTGCCTCTTTTTTTTCTTCAATGGCAAAAACCAACCAAAGATGAACAAGGAAGATTAGAAATTGAAAATTGAAACTTTGGCTTCTCAGCCAATCAAAATAGAATACCTATATTATTTTGTTTTTTTTTTGTGTTGGTGCTGACGGGCCAAATCAACGCTAATAAAGGGTCATTTCATTTCATATTCTATGCCATACAAAAAAAATTTATCTTAAGTCATTGTCTCAGTGTAAAAATGCAATGAAACTGCAGCTCTCTGAATATAGGCTGGTTATGGAAATCACATAGCTAGAAAATAAAAATCAATAACCTGCACACAGAGTTGAATCAGAACAATTCATATCAAAACAGATACTTTAATTGTTTCAATACAATAATTCCTAAGGCTTCAGAAACATACATGTGATTGCTGGAAGAGAACACTTTTGCTGGGATCAATTCCACAAGCTAGTAAGCAAGCTGTCACCTCCATGATCCGATCATACATCTCCCCTCTTGACTATGGAAGCAAAAAAAAGAAAATATTCTTCTGCATTAAGGCTCATGTACAGGGTACATGAGAAAAGGATGACATCTCATTCCCACTGAATAGGTCTGAGGTATGGTGAGAGAATGAAGGTCCACAATGCTGAAAAATGTATCATGGCCCTCATTTTGCAGATTAACCCACTGCTGGATAGCACCAAAGTAATTTCCCAGGTGGAGTGTCCCTGTCAAAGTTGGAAAATATATTTATGTACATAGTCAGTACAAGAGAAAATCAATTATAGTAACAATAGAGATGATGAGAGAGGCAAAGAAAGGATATTTAATTAGACAACCATAAGGCCCTGTATTTAAGGCCAGTTCCAATGTTACTGATGTAACATCAGACTCAAAATGATAACAAGTATGAAGGTATACCTTGAATTTGGTTTGGTCCAGAAATTCTTCTTCAACAGTGTCTTATAGATCATTGCACCTATTCCAGCAAAAATTTCTCATTTCTCCCGAGGATGAAGAAAAGAAAGGCCATTCATTTTGTGTAACTGATGTGACATGGTTCGGAAACCAGTTTCATCCTCCTGCTTCACTTCCAATTCTGTGTGATTTGGCTTGACCAGGAGCTTCCATATTTTCCAAAAAGAGGGCATAGACCATCACCTATCTTTGTGCCAAATGACATTTGTTGTTCATCAAAACTGAAGTGGCTAGGAGAGTTTTCCAGGGTTACTGATGTAACAAAATTGTCCAAACAAGATTCACGAAGCAAGTGTTACAATGAAGGGTTGCAAAAGAAATAATTAAAAAAAAACAATCTCATGCCAAGTGATGCATGTTTAGTGGATACCTTATTTAATCCAAGTTTAGTACCGATGCAATGCACAAAAATTTGGTTGCAAAAATCAAGTAGGAGAAAATTTTTAGAAAGCATTTTCACATCACTTTTGTACCAATTACTCTGGAACTGCCCTTAACATATTCAATAGTAATTCCACCAGATGGCACACTTTCACAATTGCTTTTAAGTTTGCCACACAGCAAGACTGAAGGCATACTGAAAATACAGTTTTTGTATGAATACATTTTAGGCAAATAATTTCCTTTCAAACAATGCATGGGAATTCAGTAACCTGAAAAACATCTGGCTAGAGGAGTTAAATAGCTGAAAGTGAATGCGCTAAGTAAAGTATGATTCTCTCAGACATGAACACATCGAATGAATTAACCAGGACAGGTCATATGCCTCTACACTTTTATCACAAATGGTAATCTCTGCTCTCATTGATTGTCTATTTAAAAACTTAAAAACTCAAGTTCTCAAACTGGGGCAGGGGCATAAGAGGGTCCCAGGAGGGGTACAACAAGGCCTGGACTTTTTTTTAAATTTATTTTAATGCATGCTTTGAAAAAAGTGTGCTCTTATGCATTATTATCTATTTTTTCCTAAAATTTTTCCCATTCCTTTGCAGCTGGGTAGTGGAATGCAAAAAAAAAGGAGGGGTTCTTCTGCAGTTTTTTAAATACTTCAACAAGGTCTTTCAGGCTCTTTCTCCATGAGTACAAGACTAAATTAAAGTAATCTCCTAGTGCAGGCATAGACATCTGGCTTTTAATAATCCAGATGCTCAGTTTATCTCATTGATTTTCCACCATTACTCTTTCATTTCACTGGCTTGAAAGAAGCCTTGTTTGATCTAGCTTTCAAATTTTTTTTACCTATATCCCAATTTTGGATGGTGCATCTCTTTGTGCTATACCTTGAATACTTATTGTAGCATCGATACACTATTTTCCAAGAAGTATTTGGAAAGATAACAAGAAAACTCAAAAGAATTTGGTTTCCTAAGTGGAGAAAAATGTCTTAAAACAGATAAAATCAGGATCAAAATATAATCAGAATGAGTCCTTTCCATTAAAATTCTAGCTGAACTTATGGCATTGAAGAGGTTTATTAGCAACTCACTATCAAGGCTATGAAAAGTTTCCCTATTGCTACATCTTACCAGTATAAAACAAAATTCGCTGCAGGAAATTCGCTTCAGTGAATAATAAATATTTATGCAGTCTGGATGATTGAGCTTTGCATCAACATTTCTTTACATTAACTTCCTAATCATAATATGGTTTCCAACTAATTTCACATATTTTATATTTCACCAAGTCCAGACTTGATCATTTGTGTGCCTAGTAGCAGCCTCCTTATCCTCATTAAATTTTGTGACTGATTTTCCAATTACTAGTAGTCATTGAGCTTCTGCAATTCATTTTCTGTAATTCTTTACTTATTGTATAGGAATGAAGCTAAGCCAGGGACACTAGGAAAGCACATACTTAAAACGATTAAGAACTGTGGTTGTAAACTGTGGCTATATGATAAGGAAAGTACAGTCCCCAGGTAACACAGAATTGAAAAATATTATCAGGATGACATCATTAATTACAGCACAAATACCAGGAATAGAACATATGTTGAGCCCTGTCCACTTTCATTCAGCACATTATTCCCATTCTTTTCTTGACTCCAAAAACTTCCCAAGTTCTATTAAGACAAGCTAAATCCCAAGACCAAGTCATATCTGTTGAATGTGGTCTGGGGTTCTAGTACTGTAGAGTAGCACAGAAGGATGGCATTAAACATGAAGTCTAAACTACCAAGGTATTCACATAACGAAAAATGACCACATTAGGTTCTAAGCTTCTCCTTATAACTAGAGTATTGGGAGGTCTCCATAAGGCTGAGGTCAAGATCTAATGTAACACCTACCTGTTGGTTGAATGCCAGAAAAAATCCGCTTGGGAAGGAATCGATTCATAAGCCAAGCTGAAAATAAAACATTTTCTTCACGTTAACATCAATCTTCACAAATTGAATAAGTCTAATCTGGCATGATTCGCTGACCATAACCAAGAAACAAAATATTGTTGGAAAATGCAACACAAGTGGCACAGAGTTAGGAGTATCATAAGTTGCGATGGATTTTTAAGATGTTGAACTGAAAGTCCAAGACAGTGTGATTTGAAAATAAAGCCATTAAATCTACTGGTATTCCTTTGTCTTGTGCACACCTAGTTTGCACACCCTTCGTCTTGTGCATACCTTGTTTTTTACTGTGCACACCAATCATGCACACTGCTAGAGGTGATGTTAGTATATTATGGGTGTTGTATGTGTGCATACTACAACCTACGACGGTCACTTTAAGAGTGCTATTCTCACAGCCTCCCATGCGTAATGCGCTGCCTGACGTAGTGGCGAGCAGGTACACGTAGACATGCTGAATCTTAGCTCTCCAGAGGACTTCCTTGAGGAAGTTTTTCGACTAGAACAATGCTCAGTGTATGGGGATCGTGTATGGCCATGATTCCCGTCCAGAAATGAGAAACGGCGGAAGTATCATCTCGAAGGTGAGTAGATAGTGGCCATATCCGGATCACTGGCTGCCATTCTTCGGTGATTCGGAACTATGAAAATCCCGCCACTGACGCTGCATGAACATGCTTAAGCTTATATAGGCAGGCGTCATGTATCACCTTCCCCATCTCGGATGAAATGAGGATGATAGTGCGGGGGAGGTGATTGGAAAGGAAAAGGCTATCGTAGGGGCAATTGTATCTCTTCTACACGTGGGCGACAAGGTTTACTGGACGTTCATCCTGCTCGCCGTTACGTCGGGCAGCGCGTTCCGCGTTGAACGTGAGAATGGAGGTTCAGTCCTCACCGGAAATAGTGTGCATATCACAAAGTTGAGGTTTATGTGCAGTGTTCACAGATTTGACAGTGTGCACAAGACAAAAGAATACCAATCTACCTAACGTTCGAGCGCATCCAAAATGGAAAGGGAATTTTTTCCTCGAAAGAGGCATTGAGCCCATGTTAAAGTTGGCAAGAATTCACATGAAAATCCCTGAAGTGCTGCCTAACGTTACGAGTCATTCCTGCGGACGAGATTCTTGAATACGCTTCTTGCCCGCGGGGAGACCTACAGTATTCACATCGTGCACATGCCGCTTGCAGAGCGCCATCGCATACTGACAAAGTACCCAGTCTGCAATCTAGTATACATTCTCTGAACGTCCTAGTTTGAAAGATCAATAATAGATGTCTCCGGCATACTGTAGATTCAGAACCTGCCGGCGAAGGCTGGCAGTGACCAATGCGGATGGGAGACAAGTCACAAGAAATTTGATGTGCATCAGTATGAGGGACAACCATCGAGGGTGGTGACTTGTGACGAGCTAGCAGTCACTACGGGTGTTATTGCCAGAAATGGAAACTTCATTGGTACTATGTTGAGCGAGGCTCATTTCTTCGAAAGAAAAAAAATTGTGGGGCTTTATAGATACGGAATCCGAGGTGCAAACCATTGAAATCCGGTATGTTCTCCGTTTACTTCATCGCCCCCTATTTTCTCCTACAATGACTCCTAGTTAATTCCTGAAAGGCAGTGTGGATGAAAAAAAAAAACTGGAGGGAAATTCCCTTCCCTTGAAGAAGATGATGGGTCAAGATGTATGAATAATGGGAATGAAACTAGATTCTCTAAGACTCGGCAGTACAAGTCATAACTTAATATGTCGATGCTTGAGATGAAAGAATGAGAGCATGAGGATGAAGATGTCATTTCCATGCCAGTTTCCAGCCGAGAATGCGAGAATGAGATTCGGAAACCGGATATCACCGTCACCGAACTGAATGAAACATTAAAAAAGAGGATAATGAGGATATGGTATGGGAGAGAGAGAGAGAATGCGGCGAAGACGGAGAGGTTGAAGGCCTAAGGGCTACTAGGCGTTCCACAGAGACAACCCAGGACTCCGAGCAATGTAAATATTAGAGCTCGTAAATCAAGGGCTGGCATGTGGACGCATGCGCTTCTCTCCCGTCTCGTTTATCACTTCCACTCTCCACCAGAGGCTTGGAGGGAAAGGAAAAATTCCACTAATAAGCCCCACTTCCATCCGCCCCCCTCTTGTTTGCTTTTTTCTTCTCTCCCCTCCGTCCGCGTCGTACGAGGTTGTGTGAGACCGTGGGATTTCACGCTCCACGCCTCCGACTTAACGAATCGCCCGACCCGGCACCCAGCACCCACGTGCGATACGGTGACGAGGAAACCCAAAAAGTAGTGGCATGACAGAAACCGGAGCCCTCATGCCGTCATTAGTACGTGGCAGGGGATCGTCGAACCGAATGCGTACGAACTGCGTACACATCTGTGAACATCTCTTAACAGTTTCGCTGTGAGACGGATACCTCGAATGATGTGGCTCTGTCGAGCCGTCGTCGCGATCTTTCGCCGGGTGATTCGCAATCACGCCTGGCTTGAGTTTCCTTGACATTTTTAAATACATGGAAGGAGACCCGGGAGTATGAAACTTGCTAGGAGGGATTGAATGTTGAAGGCATGGAAGCCTCTAGAGTCGGAAGGCAGGAAAGCAACGAGGAAATTATAAAGCTATCGCGCGAGAGCATTCCTAACCTGGAATCTGCGTCCACATTAGATAAACTATCGCAGCCCCACAATCTCGACGGTAGACAGACAATTTTACATAGATACCTGCCGTGAGAAACATTTTTTTTCCTACTCCGAGGCAAAGCCTTCAGAATGCATGGCGAAATAAGTTTCTCTCAAATGGTCCTAAGAGGAGGCATCGAACTGCGTCTTCGGTAAGATGAAGAGAGAAACGTGGGTGAGATGCTGGGAAAGGACCGATATGAGAGAGGGAAATATGCTACCGACGGAGTCGTCGAGCTGGGTTCCCGGATTTCTCATCTCACAGTTTCTCTCATTTCTGGATTGTGGGTATGGACGTGTCGTTGATGTGCATGCGATGCGACGAATGACCGCACGAGATTTCACGAATCGCTTCATGGAGGTGTTCGCTCGAGAATGAGGCCGGGTGGACGAAAACCAGTAAGGCGATGCTATCGGTGCGGGCCAGCGATAGCGTCTCTGAAGCGGACCCGGACTCCAGGCCAGGAATCCTATCGTCCCGGAGCCATCTTAATGATTTCCAGCTCTGTAGATGTCAGAAACGTAGTGGGTCTCCGTCCTTGAGACGAGTGAACCCCTCGTTCTATCGATGACCACGTAGAATTCGCGTAGAATGGGGACGACTCGAACGCATCCGACGTCACTCGTTCGTGCAAAGCGGGGAAAGGGACGCGGTGCTTTGCCTATCGCACTCATCTGGACCACCCGGTAGCATGTCATCCTGCTTCGAACGAAACGAAGCGAACGAACGAACGGTCACGGTGACGAGATGGAGACGTCATCGGTTTTCATATTTCGAGGAGCCTTCGCCATCGTTCGTGGCGATTTACGACCTCTCTCGCGCCCGGGTCGCCGACCCTGTCAGCCACCTCGGTGGGCGGTGGAAAGCGACGGAAGCCCGCAGTTTCGATCCTTCGAGCTTCCCGAGAGCAACCGACGTGACGACGATACCCGTTCGCCTCTTTCGTCCCCTTCCTCGCCGAAAATCCCACCTCTCGCGACCAAAGGAACCGGGGCAGAGGGCAGGATCCAGTTCGTCGTCCGCTTTGCGGTGGTCCGTTCCCCGCCGATCGGTGCCCGATATGGGGCACTGCAGCCCCGTCGATGACCGTAAGCGATCGTCGTTCCGGTGGGAAACGAGATAGAAAAAGTAGGCATCTCTTAACGTGGACTAGCGGTTACCAAACTTGTTTGAATCGCGACTCGATTGCCAACCCCCTTATACAGGGTGATATTTAAAACAGTTCCTATTTTCCAATTCACATAACTTTTTTTGCAATAACATTTCGGTGACCGTATTTTCACAAAATATGAAGAAGGCACGGGAGATTCGTGTGGGCTCAAAAACATGCATGAATCTTTGAAAAATACTCAAGGGGCTGCGCCGAAGCAATATAGCGTCCTTCAAAGAGGAGCAGAAATTGTTCCTTGTGAAATGGTACTTCAAGCTAAACGAATCACCTGTAAGTGTGCAGACAGTATCGACGGCAGTTTCATACCAGGAATGCATCATCCAGCCAGACTAATTCCAGACTTCTTAAGCAGTTTGAATCGGAAGGCGATGACCGTCGAAATGGGAATTCCGAGCATTCAATCATCCCACAAAATTTCGCTCATGCCCGACAAATGTTAATTCGCAATCCCAGAAAGAGCTTCCGATGAGCTTCACAACTTGATACAGTATTTTGTATTCAGCAACAAGGACGATTTTCTATCCCAGTATTTCTGCATATCCATACAAAATGCACCAACGGGCGACGGAAATCAACGTGGAGAAACGTTTTCTGTTCGCACGGTGGCAATCTTCCCTGTCATTCCCCAATTTCTCACTCCGTTTGGCACCGTGTGAGTAAGGAAAATGGAGGTCACATCGGACATGTCATGCTCTGATCAATGAGCCCACATGAATCTCCCATGTCTTCCATACTTTCTGTGCAAATTTGGCTACTGCAATGTCATTATTATAATAAAAGTTATTTGAATAGAAAACTAGGAACTGTTTTAAAAATCACCCTGTATTTCTACGACCTACCGTCCGTCCGCCACATTCAGAGCAGATGCAGCGGGGCTGCAAACGGGGGGAGGGGGGGGATGCTAAGCAGATATTATCCTGGGTGCGGAGGTAAGTCTGCTACAACCATGCTCGTACCACTGTCTCCATCTGAAGAGGCATAAGCATTTGCTGGTCTTGGCAGAGACGGCCGTTTCGAGGCGGAAACTCCACAGGTATGAGTATGTCGTATTTCTCCCCCGACCCACCTTGAAACCTTTTGCAACTCACACTTCGGGAACCGCTGCCGTAGAGGATGCTCACCACCGACGGAATCGTCTAACGTTAGTCCACGGGACCCAAAACCGCGAGAAATAAGTTCGAGCCCACTCAGGGACTTTTCCCTCCTTCTCAAACCGATCGACGTCGCATGTTTCCTCTACGAACGAAACTCTAAATTTCCCACGTATTCGCAACGGGCGGAAACACGACCATTCGGCAACTTTCCCCAGGGCTCGTTCGCGAAAGAAGAAAGGAAATGGAGACGAAAAACGGAAGGTATTTTGCCCCGTCCGATGCTGCTCGCGAAACACTCTGATCCCAGACGGCAGCTTTTCATCGCGAGTTTTTCGCCATTTCTTCGCCGTTGCGGCTGCGACCTGCAGGAAATAGGAAGGCGAGATCCGTCGTCGCCGCCGAACAAACGGGAGACGGAAGAGTTCGGCTTTTATTTCTTTCCAGAGTCTCCACGGGAGTCACCGAGCGCAGAATGCCCATGCCCTCGTCTTGCGTCCGTCGCAGACGGTAACGAGACTCCGATATCGCAAAGATCCAACGCTTCGTTTCCACACCAAAGTCACTTTCTTCCGCATCGGGCGATGGTTTCCGTCGGTCGGGGGAAAAGTATCGCGCCTCCGAGGATCGCGGAAACACGGAAGGCCTTCTCGAAGCGTAAAGCACGAAAAGTATTCTGCCCGGGCACTGGGACTTCGAAGCGCGAGGATCAGTGGTGGGGACTAGTAATAGTGAAATGCAGGATCTCTTTCGTTCGTCTCACTTCACCACGGACCTCCATTCCCTTCCTCTCTTTTTCCGAGGAAAAAAGAAGTCGATGCAGTGCGGACGTAGAATCTAAATCGGATCGACGTCGTAATCGGGGACTTTCGGAAGAGGGCACTGCACTCTTCGTCACTGCGGATGACTTTTAGTCCAGTTCTAGAAGGAAATCGAAGACGGAAAGAATTCCTCATCCAGTCTGTCGTGCATTCCATCGTTCGCGCATCTCTTCGCCGGTCGAGGTCACGTTTCCACTCTAATCGTGGTGGATCCACGCATGGATGCGCGAGACCGGGCGATCAGATCTGGAGAACCTTTTTCGACCGTCACTCAACTTTTCTCTTATTTCACTCGAGTAACTCGGGCGCGTTCCTCGATCGGTCCGCGGGTTTACCTTGCAATTAAAAACGACTGGATTGCCGTAAAGCAGACCGATGCGTCCATCGGTATACCACCCTCGAATGTTCGTTCTGAGGATTCTTTTTTTTTATTCAAAGGAAGCATCTCTCCGCAATTAATGGAAATGTTTACTTTGACCTTTTGTCGATGTATCGATACTTCACGAGAAGTAGTAACCTAACGGATGGAGAAAAGAACGGGATGATCCAATGCCATACCGTCATCAAGTATCGATGATTCGAAATGACGTTCCACTCTTTGCGATGCCAGCGCAGGTGAGGTCGTGAACGTGCGAGATCCGAGATGGGGTAAAACCATCAAAGTTCGGACACCATAAAAAAGTGTTTAACCCTAATCCGGGCAAGGTGAGTCCGCTGGACTCACTACGACATATTTCGGTCTATTACTGTCATTATTTTTTTTAAACTATCAGGACCATTGAATAAATTGTCTGTATTATTTTAGTTACAGTACTGTTATTTATAAGAATACATACCGTAACCGCAGCAAACGGCCTTATTTTACATGAGTCTGACAGATTCACCTTGCCCGGAATAGGTTGTAAAAAAGCTTGCCCGGATGAGGGTTAAAAAAAAGCATTTGCGAGGTCACCCTCAGGAACAGCTCCTCCAAGCTACGAAGAACTGTTTCTGAGGGAGAACTCACCTTGTTTGATTTTGTAACGATGTACATGATAGTGTCCAAACTTAGATTTTTTAAAATTTGCTTGGCGTACTTAAAAACAATAAGGCAACATTCGTCCAAAACCTCGGTGTCGGCTGGCAGGCCCACCACGAAGAGTCTTTTTGGCGCGAACTTCCGTCGACCGAGAACCTGTTCTTAGGGGACGCCAAAACAGTCCCGGTTTTTCTCTGACGTCAGCACGAGTGAAAACGCATCCCGATCCAGTTGTCACAGTGAACCTCTCCAAGGGCGATGACCACACGGATCGAGTTCGCCCTCACGCGGGCTGCACTTGCTTTGCTAGTGGTTGCTCCTACTCCCCGAATCGAGAAACACTTTCCATCGACGAAGACGGAGCGCACAGATTCTTTCGTGCTTTCACGAGTCGTCGCCATCGTTATTTGCTCAGTTATATCGACTGAGCAGTCAGACAAGTTTGTCGGCCATCGAACGAGGCGAGGACTCCGAAAGCTGCTGCCACGACAGCGCTGCTTCGGCGACCACGCTCTGGTGGGTTATGTCAAGATGCTACCCCTTCACTCCCCCCTCCTGCTCGTCAAGACATCACGGGATGGAACCGCGTCGTCGTCGTCTTCGTCTGCTGCCACCGTATTCCGCAGTCGGTGAAGCTCATCGGGTCCACGTACATCCCGATCCCAAACGACTCCAAGAGAAAAGGAGGGGTAATAAATAAGAGGAAGAGGGTGGGGACTGGAGGCAAGTGCTATTTCATGTGTTGCGCAGGGGGCAAGCGGCGGCTTCCTTTGATCTCGGTCGGGGAACCCCCGTCCGACAGTCCATGTAAAAAAGGAGATGAAAATACGAGAAGAGGCTTCTGGCTCCGACGTCCGTCCCAGCGGTTCGAGTCCGAGAGAGGAAAAGAAGAAAAAATGCGGCTCTTTGCCTCCTCAGCGCCATTCCAAGAAGAAACCTGCTTTATTGCGTGAAATCCGTTGCCCTCGGAATGTCACCCAACAGCACCTTCTGTCGTGGTAAGACAAAAAAAAAGAGGAAAGGTAAGAGAAGGAATGTGGACAAGACACAAGTCGTGTCTAGGAGTCGTGAGGAGAGAAAAACCACAGAGGAACTCGAAGGAACCGCAAAACGTCCTCTTACCATGAATATGCATGTTTTTTTTTTCTCTCTATTTCTCTGGTCATGGGAGCGAAAAGGAGTGTCGGAGACTCTGTCAAGTCAGTCCATCCTATACGTAGAGATAAAAAAAAGGATGAGATGGGAACTTTTCCCTTTTCTCCTTCTGTTTTCAATGAGAAGAGAGGCAAGGAGAATCGGTTGGATGGTGCCAGTCATCCTCCATCCTCCTCCCCACATTCAATGAACTCTCAACAATCACACAGAGACCTTCAGAGACGCACAGACAGATGTGCTTGCTTCTTTTCTTACAAGTACATTCCTCTTCCCAATGATTGAAAAATGGCTCTCCTTCAACCCACAGAGGGGGGTAAGGGAGGAGATGAAATATGGACCCCCTGCACATACGTTATTTTTTTCCCTCCCATATTTACGGGGTGGTTGTATATGCTAAGGGGCGGATGGGGATGTAATCCTTCTTCCCCTCCTATTTATAAGGCTCGAGGGCGAAAGGAGGTGAATGGGTGATGTACCTGAGGACATTTCCATATCCCCTTCCTCTTGGCTTTTTCAAGCCTGTTAAAAGCGATTTCTCGACATCGAGAAGTGAACCGTAAGGTAAGAGGAATCTTGGGGTATGAAAATATGGAGTTGGGCAGAAGGACGAGTTCTACTGTAGCCTGTAACGAGATGGGATGAAAGTGATTTTGGGCCAAGGGGGAGGGGAGGGAGGAAGGTCCTCTTCCTAATGATTTCTTTGTTTTCCTTCGTCTTGAAAAGGGAGAAGGATGTTTTCACCCCCTCCCTCCTTCCTTTCCTCCCCTTCCCCCGTTCTATTACTCACCGTGACTGACCAGGGGTTTTCCTTTTCTTCGGACGCTCTGTGGTCTAAAAGGTAAAATTGTTACGATGAAATAATGAATTCAGACCGTCATTATTTTGCCCCAATTCCCAAATGCAATGCTTGAACCGTATTTATTCCGGATTTCTACAGGCTCTTGAGACCAACCTAACGAAGTATGCCTTGTTTGGGCTCTGAAACGAAGCCCAGGCAAGGAACATGAGAAGGCGCAGAAGCAAAACAGGCATTGTGGGTCGTGTGAGAGGGGACATGTGTTTGAGACCAGATGTCCCCAGAAAACTTCCTTTCTCCTTCTTCCCCATTCACCGATTGAAAATGGGTTTGATCGATCAGTGAGAAACGCCATGAAACGACACTCTTTTCTCTCTCAGGCAGACACGCGCATTCCTAAATAATCCATTAAGGGCTATTGGACGTGTGAGTGGAGCACGAACGGACGTGACTCCTTTCCCATTCCCTTTCTCCATCTCTGTCTTACACATACAAGCCAGGTCTGGCGACAGCGACAGTACGAGAACAAAAGCCCTGGGCCCTCGCTGTCTCAAGGATTATCTCCCCCTCTCCAAGATAAAAGGAGACAGGCAGACAGATGCACAAAAACAGACCTCTTTTCAGGTGAGGCGTGAAGGGAATTTTCCGGCCCGTTCCCACCGGACACCAACCCCATTCACTCAGGATTAACCAGAATCCCATGAATAGAAAACCTTAGTTTTTATTTTTAAAAAGGGCGAAGGTGAACCAATATGGCACGAGAGAAGGGGGGAATAGAAATAAAAAGATGAACAAGGTAAAAAAAAAAAAAAAACTAGCACCATAAACAACGAGGATGAAGATCCATTCACGGTCATGGGGGAATTTCCTTCCTCAAAAATCATTCGCGATTTCCGTGGAATATCACACGATCACAGTGGAAGTCAAGCAGGAGGCAATGACGAAGGCTCCGAGTCTCAGACAGTGCATTCGCTCTTGCAGTAGGGCTTATGATGATGGTGGTGGTGGTGGCGATGATGCCGATGAGGGTTGCTGGAATCCCTGACGAGGGGAGAAGTGACGGGGTTCGAATGTTGATGCTGGAGAGGGGTGGAGCCGGTGCTCTTCTTTTCCAAGGGGACACCAGGGGTAGGAATGGGAACGAGTCGGTGGCAGAACCCCCTCCATGACTTTCCAGTCTTCTCGCTCCATACCCACATCCCCGACGTGATACCGACCACCATGCTCATGAAGATCTCCAGCATAAAGAGTTCTATGAAGGGTTTCTTGCCCTGATGAACCCACGCGGATCGATTGCCCAGCTGGTAAAAGTGTCCTGCCATGACACAGGCGGCAGGGACAATGTAGAGGAGGCTGAAGATCCCGATTCGGATGGCAAGGGGACGACGGGCACCGTTCCGATCCCGAGGATATGTCAGGAATCCCACGGCAAGGAAGATGCTCCCCAGCACTAGACACGTCAACTGGGGGCCGATCACGAACTGAACCAGGGCTCTATCATCTTGATTGCCCACGGAACAGAGGCCGGTGAGCTCGTCGGCATCGATCTCGTGCATGACGAGGATGGCGATCGTGAATGCAGCCGGTACTCCCCATGCCACGAGATGATAAAACGATGCCTTCCCGGCGATCCTGTCTGCAGTCCATCGTCGGCACGAAAGGAACCAGGTGAAGGTCAGGATGACCCACCACACCGAAGCCCCTGTCCCGAAATAGTAGATCAAGAGGAAGACCAAGGCACAGGCTGTGTTCCCGAGTCCGTCTTGAACGAGGATGTCCGTGTCGTGTCCGTAACGTTGACAGGCGAGACCGCGACGACCCACGATAACCCTGACCAGCATTCCCGTTGCCATAAGAGCGTAGCATCCGTAGAGTAGCACGATGGGCCGCTCGGGATAACGGAAATTTCCGGGTTCCAGGAGGAACGTGATGATAGTGAAAAGTGTGGAAGCAAGGCATAAGGAGGCCCAAACGGCCATCCAGACCCCTGCGAAATCCTTCTCGTCAGCCGTGAACGCCACGTCCGCATCGCACACTTGGGCACATCGCTTTGTCCGGTTGATGAACACCCATCCTTCCGGTTTCTTGTAGTCCGTACAAAGACCCTGCAGTGAAAGACCAGCCGAAGGACCGTGTGGCAGCGGCAGTTCAAACGGGGATGGTCGATTCAGATCCAAAGAATTCCTGAAATCCAGGAAATGGTGGACGGGAGGTCCAGTAGGATCCTTCTCCCCTGGTCCTTCCATGCACATGTGCACGTGGTTGTTTTCCGGCGGGAACTTGGAGCAATTCAATGCCACCGGCCACGGGAAGCCAAATTGTTTCAGAACTGGAGAACACCTGTCTCGTACAATCTCACATAGGGATCGACAGGGTCCGATGGGATTCGGCACTTTTTCCGTACACATCGGGACGTATACGGAACAGAGAAAAACCTGAAGCTGAGAACTGCATCCGCACTGAACGAGGGAATTGTAGGTCTGCAGCTGCAAGAATGCATCGGTTTGGAGATAATGCCCGACGAAATTCGGCATGGAAGTCATCTTGTAACCGAGACCTTTACACATATCGATCGTAATGGGTTCACACGTCCTGGGATGTTCCGAAGACTCGATCAGGCTCTGTCCCATTCCTATGGATCCGATCAAAAACGCACCGAGAATCCACATCTTGTTCTTCCCGCCGAGCATTCGAGTCTCTTCCGACTGCAGCTGGGCTGGGAAGCGAAAGAAGCAGGCCACTGCAACGCACACGCTCCACACGCCTTCTGGAATGCCTCACTCAGCACTGGGCTCATCACATCTCTCCCGCTGACACATGCACAGCCGGGAGGGGCTCCTGGCCAATGAGAGCCGGCCTTACATATGCGTCTCATGCGTTCAGAGATGGGATTGGCTGGAACCTTGTTTTGTTGAATACATGATGCGAGATAAGCGGGGAGGGCTGTAAATCATGGCCTCGTCGACGTCCCTCTGAGTAGCCCTCTTTAACCTCTCCTCTCAGGGCACCGTTTCATAAACACACACACCCTCCCAACCCCCAAACTTGCACTTTTCCGACCTCTTTTTTTTTTATATAAAAAAAAAAATACATTTCAGGGAGAAAAGAGGAATGGTGCCAGATATATTCCTCTTTACAGGTGCAAATTTTGGCTAGCTGCAAGTCGAGTTTCTCTTTTTTTTTCTTTCTTTCTACGAGGATAATATATAATGGGCGGGTGGGAACAGGTGCGATAATTATGGGTCTTAATGCAACCATAGAGACGTCCTATGTGTCATGAGGAGGTGGGAGCCCGTAAATACTTAGTGTCACTGTCGTGTGAGAATACGTGGATAAATATTTTCGTCCCTTCCCCCTCCCTTCTTTCAGGGTGTGCAGAATTTTCCGCTTGCTCACGACGCGCTTCCCGAGATGAAAAAGTCACGCCCTCGCAGTCCAACGACCTTCGTTCGTCCCTATGAAACCCACGAACCCCTTTGCAGCGCGATCGAATGGGATGGAATAAGAACAGGTCTGGTGAGTGCACGGCAGACACTTGCGAGCGAGGTCAGGAAACCCCTTTTCTTTCGTCATGCAGCAGATCGTCTCGTGACTCTATCGCGTAGTCATACATCGAATTCCCAGATACGATCGAGACTCCGATATCGAATGCAGCGAACAATGTCGATATGAGGACGGCCGGTGGGAACGTACGGTAGCGACGTAGAATTCCAGGCCATTATAAAGGGAGAAATGGGGAGGGGGAACGTTGAATGTAAACCTGAAACCGTGCGCGAGGGAAAGAGGGAGGGGGAACCGAAGCTTCGTGCCAAACCCAGCAGGGTCTCACGGTAAACAAGCCTGGCCATGTCACTTTTATCTCTCCTCTACCCTCTTCCATCTGTCTCTGTCTCTGTCCCTGTCTCGTCTCTGGAGAGTCCGGTCCGAGTTGAAGAGAACTCGTTAGAAATGGATCCGACATTCGCGATAGGGACCTGTCGTAGAAAGAAATGAAGGGGAAACGGGGAGGGGAAGGGCCGAAACAGGCCTCCGGAATAAAGGTGGGCATGTAATTTTCACGTCAACAACTCCAGACTGAGGAAGGGATGGATGAGGACGAGTTCCCAACCCTCCTCAAAGTCATCATCATCATTCTCATGGGTGGTCTCTGCCCATCACGATCCCCCTTCTACCCCTCTTAAAAATTTTTTTCTTGCAGCCCTTACCATTCCCTTCAAGGTTTAATGTAAGTGGGCTAGGCTAAAGGCAGGGGAAATCCAAAAATAATATCGATGATTTACAAGCCTTTCGTATCGGAGCAGCGACAAGGGGGCCAAGAGTACTTCATGATCATTAGGCTTCCCTTCGTCTTATCAGATGCTCCTGCTCTAACGAAGAGCAAATAATATTCACAGTGTGGATTTCATCATTTGCGTCGATGCCTCTCAATCAAGGTACCAATCTTTAACATCCAACAATGAAAAAGACAAGTTCTTCAACTCGACATGTCCCAAATTTGCGGAAAAACACTTACCGAAACATAAAATCCACCCACCAATGGCCTTTCGTCAAAGCGACCAGCAAAGAATTCAGAAAAGTCTGAACTCTGCTTCTCCAGGTAGAAAAATGCACAGTTACACGATGGAGGATATCTTCTCTGCACCTTTATTTTCCTTCATTAACTCTCATATGTAATATCTCTTTCTCTCTCTCTTTTCACTTCAGTGCACTGAGCACCAAAACAACAAAAATAATGCATATCAGAGCAACAGTATTCTCAAAGAACACAAAGAGAAATAATGGGGGCACCAATAAACTTCAATCATGCATTTCATACCACTCAGGACAAGAGGAACTCTTCAGATGGAGTTAGAAACTGACTGGTTCCATTCTCTACATACAATTTTAATAAAGAAGCCAGATCATAAAACCTACAAAACAAAATAAAAAAGAAAACATAAAAGCTGATTGTTGATGAAATGTATGAATCTGCATATTCATGACTGTATCTGGGGTGGAAAAATTCAGGATTGACAGAGATCAACCTAGCCAGAATCACAGTTTTGCCCTCAATAATGAAGACAAAACACATGTAGACATGGATGCAGGACAAAGAATTAAATGCAAACCATGAATACATGAAAATGAGGGGAAAAGCAGACTGGGATCACAGGTAGAGAAGACCAAATGGCAATGGATATGGTGGAGGAAATAGAAGAAAAAAAAAAAGAGAAGTACAGGGTGATGTAATCATAATTAACAGGAGAGAGAAGCAGAGGGATCAGTGCAGATTTTGTGCCAGAGCAAGTCGGATCTCTTCAATGCGACTCAACTCTTCCTGTAGGCTTGTTAGGCTCTTCAACAGATTCAGCTTCCTATCCTGTAACCATGACACAGCCTGCTTCAACTCCTCTGGGTTACATCTGATCAAGAAACAAAATGAATAGCAAGAATGTTACACATAGACTAATGAACCAACCAGCAACTGTTAATGCTTGCTCTAGAGAAGGGAAGTGCACTCACTGTCCAGCCTGAAGGAAGGATCGCAACTGTCGATAAAATTCCTCGTCTCTCTTCTTCATCAGATCCCCTAAGAGAATCTTTTCATCTGAAAATTTGTGAAGAGGAATGCAAAAAAATCAAGTTACCAATGCACAAACAGAGATGGGATAAGTCAAGCACAATTTCCAAAAGCATCTCACACTCCCTCTCATTATTGGTTTATAGGTACATAGTCTTTATTTGCCTGTGAGTGTTTAGAGTCTTGCTGTCATTGTTGGGCATGCATTTAGGCCGTTTACGATGTTTCTGCTAGTTTGTGGATGCAGTTTATATGCAATTCAGAAGGCTTTCCTCTGGACTATTTCTAGTTTTTCCAATTGTGTCTGCTTTGTTGCAATTATGATTGGTGCACCATATTCCATAACTGGCCATACTAATTGTTTATACAGTTTCATGGTGTTTTCAGTGTTGCATCCCCATTTTTCTCCTTGTATTAGACTTAATAGATTTAGTCTTTAGTTTGCTTTTTTGTAATGTCGTTGATGGGTGCCATGAGTTGACCATGTTGTATTGTAATTCAGAGAAATTGTGTTTTCTTTTCCAGTTTTGCTTCTTCTTCGTTCAGGATAATGGATACATCCTTCTTTCTCTCACTTTGTATGTGAAGAGGATAGGTGTAGTTTTCAATGGGTTTATAATTATCCTCCATTTATTGCAGAAAGACACTTATATGTTCCAAGTCTTGTTCTGTACTTATTTTTAGTTTATGTGAATCCTTGTTTGTTTGCCATATGGCTACATCATCTGCATATTGTGCAATATTTGAAAAGAGAAAGGAAGAAAAATGGTTATCACATTGGTCAAAAAATTCTCAAAACCAAGAACAAAAAGAATACATCAGGTCATCGATCCAATAAGAATGTACAAACATAGGAAACTTTTCAAATGAACACTACACCTCCATTATATTAAAAAGGAACCCCCCAAAAATTTTTACTATTTAACTATAATTTTCAAACTTTAACGGCTTTTATCTCTTTATTTTTATAATTAATAAATGAAAATTATTTTAATCGGAAAATACGAGACAAACCAGAGATTTTATGAGCATATGAAGCATCAACCAGCAAATAAGTAAGGTTAACATAAGGAGTAAAATAAGCCAAATTTGCTGAGGGGCCAATAGCCCGAGCAGCAGATGCGGATCCAGTATGACCGCATCAGTCACGTGAAGCATATTCTTGGAATCCCATATTCCCATGATTTCAAAATTCCAATGCACCACTACATTAGTCTATCTAGCATGACTGTCTTAAATCTCACATTAAAATACATGAGTCTGTCCATGCCAAGTGGTCCTAGAATTTTAGCCTAAAATTTCCCTAAATATGCAAATATTACTTTCACTACAGAAGTTCATAATTTCTTTTCCCAGAAGACATGAATGAAAGAGAATATTACATTGAAAAATGAAAGAATTAGTCATGATTATGATATATTGGGTTGGAAAGAAAGTCTTGCAACGCTTTCTAAAACTATTTATAAAAATTTTTAAAGGAATGATGGGTGGGGCTTTGCATTTGTATATGCTGGAATGTTCTCGAAGCTTCTGCCCTCGGGGTATATAAGGCGGCTTCTGCCATCAGTTGGCAGCCATGGCTCTGATCGAACAAGCAACTCTTCGCCCCATCGTCTACTACAAGTTCCTCCAAGGACACTCTGCGAGAGCCGCCGCGGATCTGCGCTGCATTCGAGGGCAACGTCGTCCACTATTCCACGGTGTCTTGATGGTTGAAACGCTTGGAATCTGGCGACACGACCTTCGGAGATCGACCACGCTCAGGACGTCCATCTACAGTCAATGACGAAGCCCTGCGGAACGACCTCAACACAAAGCCGAACGCCACCACTCGCGAATCGGCGACTACACTTGGAGTCACCCATATGGCCATCGGCAACCATCTGGACGACCTCGGCTATCGGAAGGTTTACTCGACATGGGTCCCTCATCGGCTCGGCGACTCTGACAAAGCAAGCCGTGTCGGTGTCTGCGAATCACTGCTCCTTCGTCTGCACAGAAAGGACCTTCTGAAGGAAATCGTTACCGGAGATGAGAGCTGGGTCCTCGACGTCAACCGTACTTGCAAGAGTCAGTGGCTTCCACGAGAATTGCCGCCACACGAACCGAAACCAGGGTTCCACGAGAAGAAGGTTCTTCTCTGCTGTTGGTGGGATTCGGAAGGAATGTCGTACCGTGAGCTCCTGCCAACCGGTACCACCGTGACTGCCGTCGTCTACGCTGCTCGACTTCAGAAGTTGGCTGGCGTCATTCAAAAAGAGCGTCCCAAACGCGACAAAGTTCTCCTTCTGCCTGACAACGCTCGTCCGCGTGTTGCGAAGATGACTCGCCAGACGATTTCGGAACTGGACTGGGAAGTTTTACCCCATCCAGCGTATTCTCCGAACTCGGCCCCTTCCGACGATCACTCGTTCCGGGCCCTCGAGAATCACCTGCGGGACGAGGCACGAGACGATCGAGCACAGCTCGAAAATGATGTCTGCCGTTTCTTCGCTTCGCAATCGCCAGAGTTCTGGGCAGAGGGCATCGAGCAGTTACCCGTGCGTTGGGAACATGTCATAGACAACAATGGTCATTACATTGTAGACTGAAATTGCATTTAATAAAGTTATAAAGTTTTGAAAAATTTGCACAGTGTTGCAAGACTTTCTTTCCAACCCAATATTATTCATACACCATCATGATACTCAAAAATGTGATGAAAATGCAAATCTGGAGAATGAATTAGAGTAATGGAACAGATGCCAGCCAGGGCTTTTCATGCATACTGATAATTTTAAATCAGCTCAGGTGTGAAGAGTGGATGTCTATTGTTCACATTCGAATGATAACTTTAAAATAAAATTAATATATACAGTATGTGCAGACTTCTAGTTTCAAAATACATTTTCAGAACATGTCACATCTGACACCATCACAAAATAGGCTTACTTTCTGTTTCAAGCATTGTCATCTTGGGGTGACTTACATTAATTCAAGGCATTCATTCAATTTATAGAATGAACATGAAAATAAATTATTAGGATACGCTGAATGATAGATATGTGAACATTAGTGCAAGTGACTTTAACTTGAGGTTCATAAAATGTCACGTCTGACACTTTTCTTTGCACATAGGTACACTTCTAACAAATGAGATGGTGCACGACTTTGGATTATTGAATTTTCAGTCACCACCCAAAGCAAATTGTTGCAGTCTATATATGCTGATTTATCATCCATAATATAGTTAAATACATTTAATATACTAAAAAATATTTCTCCGGATGTCACATCCAACACCATGGACATATCCACATCTTTTTCAAATTAAATTCCACCACATTTGGCTTAAACACTTGAATATGATTTTTTTGGTAACTAAATTCATCAGTAATCAATGCCATAAATTAAAAGTGAAAAAACAATGATGTCTAATGAAGAACTGAGACTGTGAAGGGCTAATGCAATAAAATCTGGAAAGACTTGTGCAACCTCAAAAAGGGAGGCTAATAAAGAAACAAACCAAGCTGACAAGAGGAAGGAGGTATGTGCTTGCGATAATGAGTAAAGGCACTGGAACTACTGGTGTCAGCAAAGGTTTCTGGAGGAGGGAGAATTGGAGACACCCCTGGAATAGGTGGGGACTTCCTGCTCCCAATACTTCCCTGCAGAGGAAAAGAAAACATCAGCTTCTCATCTGTGCAATGAGATGGGCTAGGTTATTTCCTGAATAGCCAAGGAATTGATAAGCCCCTTTGCATGAGCTATCATGGTTCATATTTATTTGTTCCTAATCAGTTTCCTGACTGGATAATGCAAGTAAATAACTTACATCATATAATCAGCAGTGTGTAACAGAGGACACATTCCAATTACACAGGATTGCATCCTGACCTACAGCATCATGTTAGGTCACTTACATGAAGAGGTGAGGGTCTTGGAGGAATGGCTGGAGGAGCTGCAACTTGTGTCCCCGATCCTTCACTCCCATCCACTGCTTCCAAATGTCAACAATAAACAATGTTCATTCAAATGAATTCATCCTATCATGTCTGATATTTTCCATAAATTGAAGATTATGTCCAGAATTAGAATGGCAAGATTAAAAAAAAATAGCATGTCAAGGTTAACATGTAGTAGGCTACTCATAAGCAGTCATGCATGAGTCCATGAGGTCTATGCAATGACTACACAGAGGAGTAACCTCAAATGAGAATAAAATGTAAAAGCAAAGCAGAATATTTCCAAGGTTTGCATCCTTGATACGGAAGAGTAAGCAAAGACTAGATAGAGTCTGCCTAAAATTGACCAAGGGGAAAGGCACCAGTTCAATCAGTTCCAGTTGATCTTTGTTAGGTTGAAAAATGAATGAATTGTAATGTCAATGATAAAAAAACACATCCTTGGTCTGGCAAAAGTATAGGTACTGGTAAACCTAAAGATACTTGCACCTACCTGAATTATTACTTGCTTTCATTCATGACAAGAAGAAACTCAGAAGTCACATTGCAGTAATTTTTATAAGACCAAAGTTTGAACAACAGAGAGAGGCAAATACGAGGTGAAGGATTTGAAGGTTCCAAGAAATGGGAAAGAAGATCCCACAATAGCAATTGAGATACAGTCGAACTCGGTTATAACAATGAAAGTGCCAGGTCCCGGCATAGAGCCCATACAACACGTTACATTTTGCCTTGGTTATAACAAAACCTCAGTTATAACAAAGTCCATTGAAGGTCCCACAGACGAAATCGACAACGTTCATGTCCCTAATCTGTCATTCTTAGCTGAAATTTCCGTCATTGGAAAAACTAGCATTGGCGAGCCATAACTTTATATTTCCTGGATTCGGCATTCCTTGAGAGTCATGTGGGTGTGGCTGGAGCAATGTTAGGGAGGGATGATCCCCAGTAACTAAGATCACCTTATTTTCAGTCGCCATTTGCATTTCTCGTTGACAACATGGCCAATGAAAAACGAAATAAGTAAGCCTTCACGACTGAAAGGAAAGTGTGCTTGATTAGTTTAATAGAAAGAGCTTGAAGTGAAGCTAATGTCACTCGTGAACATGTACATCTGTTCATCTGATTCCACAATTTTGGGAAATCGTGACAGCTTCATCCGTGCTTACGAGAACATGTCACAAAACAAGAAACTTCCTAGGTCTGTCAAGATGACATCGACGAAGCCTTGTTAAAGTATAAAGTAGTTCAAGGTCCAAAGAAGTGCGAACATCACAATTAGTGGGTCAATCTCGAAACTGAAGCTAGTGCAGTATGACCAATGTAAACTGGAGTTGTAACGTTATATAGCATCAATTTTGAAAACAGGAAAATGGAGTGCCAATAAAGGCAACCTCAGTTATAATGATGGTTTTTACCTGGTCCCTTCGATGATGTTATAACCGAGTTTGACTGTATTGGGAAAGAGGCACCAGAAATTCAATTATAAAAATAGCCCAAATATACATGACAAAGAGAAAGAACAGACGTGGAGGGACTCGGTTGAGATCGAGAGAGGAGCTGCGGGTATGAGAGGGTCTAGGTGGGGGAGGCGGAGGCGGGTGGTCTGCTTTCCGAGCTGAACCTCCAGCTGGCAGAGATGGGGGAAGGCTTGATGGACCCAGGCTCCCACTACTGCTGGTTACTCGGCTACATAAAAGGGGCAAGGCACCAATAAGCTGTGAAGAAGTAGGGAAAGGAAAACATAAGAGCTAGAATGAAGACAACAAACTGGAAGCGATTGGTGTGAGATCCTTCTTCTCCCTCACTTGTGGACGATGTGCTTCGACTGCTTCCTTCACTCAATTCACCTCCAATGCCTGACCCTGGGGGAGGTGGGATCCCACCACCTCCATCTGCTTGTGCAAGCAAGTGTTGCATGTCACATTTCAATAAACTACAATCTAACATCGCATGCAGGTGCACAGCATGATGCAAATTCTTGCACAGGGGACCAATTTCAAATAGGGGCAAAGTAGGGCACCATGGGTCAGGCTGTTTATAGTTCTCCCAACTCTGTTTCTCATCATGTTGTCTGTAACATATCTTCCAGCTGAGATGCCAGAAAAATGTAGTTGAAAAATGAGCAGTCAGTCCTCATCAAAAATACAAATTGTGTGGATGTTTTTCTGTGGAAGACACTTTCTTTGTTTTTGTTGACAGTAATGTCTCGAATTTTGCTAATTGTTTCTTTCAATGAAAAGTCTTGATTCTTACAGGAATTGGATTTGGGAAATTGGTAGTTCAATGCCTGTGGGTATGAGCTACAATCTCAACTTACTCTGGCTGTAATATTGATTTTATTTCAATGACTCTTTTTGGGCATGATGGGTCACTCTATTTGGGACACAATGAGTCATAACTCAGTGTGCCAATGTTTCCTGATAGTTGCCAATGCAGAGCAGGATATCCTTTGCAGTATTTTTCTGATTTAATGAAGTGCAAGTAGAAGCAGAAGAATCTGAAGAGTTCAACACCAGCAGATGTGATATTCTTGAATGTTAAACAAATTGTACATTATTTTCTGATTAAAGGTTCCTAATTTTTCTTGATAACTTTCAATAAGTGCATCAGTATTCAAGAGCTTCTCTTCCTGTGGTGCAAAGACTTCTTTGTGTGATGACTTTGGGTCAACATTTTAACGATTATGGGGATGACCCATTGTACCCAGGACACTGGGTACAATGGTGCCCCATTTTAAAATACAACTTCATTGCATGACACTTGTAAAGTTGACAAATTTGAAACACAGGATTGTGCAGGTGATGTGAGTCTTTACATGCAGGGCCTTTCATTGCCTCAGAGGAATAAAAGTCCCTAAGAAGCAGGTCCACAAAAAAAAAAGACCCATGGTGCCCATCCTCCCCTAAAAATTACAAAGCAGACACTTGAAGTAGTGATATTTTCAGAATAAAAAATACTCCCTGATGCTCCTTTTACCTAAAAAACTGAATTCAAAACTTGCAACAAATGTAATATAGTACTAAATGCACAAGTTCATGGTTACATTTATTACTTTTCAATAGGCATGTACAAACATGAATTTAAAATCCTGCCATGCAGTTCCTCTTGGTTTGTTCAAGGAAAAGTTGCTTCCTAAACCATTCATTACGCTCCAGATGTGGATGGTGGGGACTTTCGGTATAACCTAGACACCATGGTATTATTGAGAACTGATCTTGGAACTGAAGTTTAGTCATCGCATGCAATGGAAGGTAAGTTAGGTAGGATGACCTGGAAATTAGCAGGAGGGGCGAGGGATATGTGCACAAACAAATTTTTCTTTACTTGGCCTGTGTATGCACCTCCCTCGTACACACCCTTCTTCCGCCACCCACCCCTCCCAGGCTTCCAGTTCGCATTGCAGTCTCCTTGTCATTACTCAGTCAAAAGGTATTAAATAGGCAAGAGGTACATCTGGATTAGCCCAGATCCAGTCTGCACCTTTCACCATGAAGGTCTTGTTCTGTTTTCTCACATTTAAGAATTAACTCTTATGTAAAACATTTTTTGGGTTCAGAGACAAGACCTTGACTAGTGAAATTTATCTAAACAAGATAACATAACTGAAAAATTAAACATATTTCAGCATCCTAATTCTTGCATTAGCAAGTTTTTTTTTTGTTTCTTGTTGCCATACCCTGTACATAAAGGAGACTAAATACACTGTGGCAGTGGTATTCTATGGTTTTTATACTATGGTGATAAGAAAATGATGAAGGGGCTAGTATGATTATCATGAGAAATAAATATGATGATGATATCAACATACTGCTACATGTGCTATGCAGAGAAAAGCTTCCAGTAGGGAATGGTTTACTCCTCAAATTGAACTTCAGATTAATGTAGCTCATCTGCATTCTGAGGGAAAGGTTGCAACTGCTTCCTCGTATGACAAATACCTCACCAAACTCACTAACAATTAACCTGTCTGAGAGATTCCATAGGCCTACCTTGATTTAACTGATAGTTTTTTAAACTAGGGAATATATGGGTGCTTGAAAGGTCCCTTTCCCTATTTTAAAATTGTAATAGCGCTTAGAATTTTTTTTTTACTAGAACAATGGCTTTTACATCAAATGTAAGAGAGTTCAATAGGGTTTCATGATTTAATTCATTTTTTTGTTTGCAGTAACCCTCAATGGAGCCAAAAATCTTTGACACTGTATGTAAATGCATGGTATGAGATGTGGAGGCGGGGAAAATGGGATGCTGCATACAAGGCATCTTCCTTGCTCCACCGCTTCTGTACCATGATGAAGGGCAACTGTATGAGGTGTGGAAGTCTCCCTTCATGGTCCAGAGGTGGTGGTGGAAGGAGAATGCCTTGGATGCAAGTTTGCATCTTCACCACTTCCACCTTCACCTCATGCCATGCAGTTATTTTGGTAAGGTGTCGAAGATTCAATTTTGGCATCAAGTAGGGTTGCTGCAAACAAACAATCAATTAAATCATAAAATCCTATCAAATTCTCTTTCTTTTGATGTGAACACCATTCTTCTAGTCCAAAAACTACCAAAGTTATTACAATTTTAAAGAAGGTCTAAGGAGAGTAAAAGGTTCATTAGCCAAAAATGCTTAAATAGAAGCAAGGAGAACAAAATTTGGTATAAACTCATACATGGATGCTTCCGAGGTACAGGCCTTTGTATGCCTTTGAGTTCCACCCCAGCTGAGTGATCAAAGAGACCCCGTGGACTAGAGTCACCTCCTCCTGAATGCTCCCCTATGCGACGTGGTTTAGGGTGGATGATCCTTGGATCCTGCAACATGCAATATCTCTCTTCTCTGGCATACACTCCCATAGTAAAATCATTTATAGCAATTCTTTGCATGACAAAATGAAACCTGAGAAAACTTATTTTCCTTTCTTTTGTATAACAAGGCACAGCCCAATAATCTAATCAAATTAATGAAGCCCCTATAAACCTTCTCCACATGAAGGTTACCATGGCTACACCAACAGACATCAAATTGCCTAAACTTCAAATGGAAAATTAAAAACAAATACTTTGGCCATTCCAAGTCAACCTTCCAAATCATAGTAGCTCAAATAAATGTCCTATAAAAAAAAATCCAATATTAGGTACAGAACAAAACTTGTGAATCCAAAATGTTAGGGTTTTATCCCCATCTGTTCCATGAATACCCTGCATAGTATGAGGGTTATGCTCAAAATGATTCTTAGTGGAAAACAATGATCTAAATTATTGACCCTAGAGAGACAGTAAATAGCACTAATACATGTCTTGAACAGTAGATTCAATTATTCATGTTACAAATTACAGGTGAAAATGATAAATATTCCCGGTTGACAATGCATATAAATGCAACCTTTCAGCCTCACTAGTATTTCCTATTAACACATTCTGGGGACATCTGAATTTTGGCTTGAGATCCCAAAAACACACTGCTGTATTTCAAATGGGCTCAACTGTGCTAACATTTCAGGTCAATTCAGTTACACCCCACATGTGTTCCCTCTGACACAGTATTCTAAGATACATGGATGACTATTGCTGTCCTGTCCCACAAAAGGTCTATAAGTATTTCAGCTATGACCATCGTGTCTACCAACATGTTTAGAGTAACATTTCCTTGCCTTGTGAAAGCTCCTGTCTAGTCCAGGGCATCAAAAAACATAAAATTCCCCCTTAAGGAAAAAACTAATTTGGCCAAAAACCATAACATACCTCAATTATATTCAGCATTAATTTCTGCATCAAAACCCAAATTTTCAATAACCTGAATTGCTACCTTCAGTTTGAAGAACTGCCTGACATCTAGATGGATAGGAATAATGCAGTTCTTGGAACAAAAGGTAGTCATTGGAAAGTTCCATGAGCATTCTCTCTGTTGTAAGTTGTAAGTCTTGTTGTAAGTGTTGCAAGAGCATATTCCCATAGTTTTGCATTGGTTCCCCATGCAAACTTTTTCCTGTGCCACAAGAAAACAATAGCATGGGTCAGTTTTTGTATAGTATTTTGGTAGAGATCAGTCCTGTAGTTCAGTAAAAATATTGGGCATAGCCAATGTACATGAAAGACATGGCCTTTTGTTTGCTTGTGTTTTTAATTTTTATTTTCAGCAAAATTCATATTTGCCATGACTCCCAAAGAGACCAATTGGAAGGCTGAGGGGGAAATCAATTTGTCTGCAAAAAAATATTCTGTTAACCTCCAGGGGGAAAAGGTGAATATTATACTGACTGACTTCTTAAAAGCATGAAAAAGTGGCATACATAGTTTTTCATATTCATAAACCCCCCAAAGTACCATCTTTTTTAATGACAGGGAAAAGGATCTATGAAAGGTGTATGAATTTTAATACCCTTTCAGCAGATCCCTTGATAGCACATGGGAAAAAATTCATCAAACTTATATTTAATCGACGAATAAGATGAAAATTTGCCAGTCACCATCAAATACATCAGTCTTCTCATAAGGAAAATAAGATTGGTGTATTGCAATCGGAAGTGCCTCGGGCTTAGAACTTTTCATACACCCCTCATATGTGCATTAGACCAACCATCTATTTCTCTGACCTTTTGTAGATAACCAGTTTTTCTTTCAGCCCTTCAATTCATGATCCAAAGTTCACTTGAGTGGGAAAAAATTAAAGAAATTAACTTTTCAATGTGAAATTTTATTGATTTTCCTTACTGGAATTAAAAGAAAATTTCAGAAACCAACCAAAATAAGGGAGATTTGAGGATCACCTTATGCATATAATTAGTTATGAATAACATGCAGATACTTTTAAAATGGACAATTAAATTGAGGCACTTATAATAAAAAATCTTGATAACATGATTCTTGAATGTATCCTGAGAATCCTGGATGCAGGAACGGGCCAAATGCTTTATATTCAGGTTTTGTACTTGCACACATTGGTCCTTTCTCATTCCAATGCATGGAAGGTCAAGCATGATGTTACAAGCATTGCAAGATTAGGTCTATCCTGAGTCCAGGGCTAATAGGACTATGCTGGTCAGGATCAGTCCTCAGTTTTGCAACAACTCCAGGCCACTCTGGGAGGTCACTTACTTTCATATCAGACTGAATTCTTTTTAAAATTCCTTTAAAGTTTTATTTTTCATCTTGGACAGACAATATAAGATAAACTCATAGACAGAGAAATCCAGAAAAGGGAATTTCAAATCCCCGATATTTTGGAGTGCAGATTCAGTATTTTTGTACATTTACAATTTTTTGCATATAGTTTTCAGGTTGCATAAATTGCACTGCCTTGCATCTGAAGATTAAAGACATCATGCAGTCAACTCTTGATTTCTACCAATTTTGAAAAGTCAAGAATGTAACTGTACTGGAAAAAGACAGGCAAAAAATCATTAAAACTTTTTTTTAGCTGCAATGTTGAGTTCCACAATCCAAAGAGTTGATGGAACAGTTTCTATGGAATGCAGATTGTAAGAAAACAGCAGATAACAGCAACCATACCAATATTTTTTAGTATGGCTGTCTTTTGTTCTTTTTTTTATTTTTAGGACTTTCAGAGAAGAGTTTCAGATAGTCAAGGTTTTACTATCAGAAATTATGTAGATATCAGTAATCAACATCTGTTTTTTAACACTTCTTTATTGAAACATCAGATGCCAACTGGAATCCAACATTGTTAATACTCTAGATCTCTGGGGATCATAACTGAAGGGGACTTTTTAAATATTTATTATGCAAATTTTATGATAAATATTTATGAATATTTTATTAAACACTATTATGCTGCTATTAGGAGGTTAGAGGATGTTTACCCATACAACCAGAATGTACAATAATCGATTCATAGCTTCCAGCTAACTGAGTTCATAATATCCTAATAGGTCACTGAAAATGCCCTTTAAAATCTGACATTTGCCAAAAATCAGGCTGTGAAACATCTCACAATGAAGGACAGGCCCATGACGGTTAGATTGCTTATGATAAATCTGCCTTTGTGTAGAATTTAAATTTATTGCGATAAAATCCACCAGTAGGTAAAGTGTTGCTTCAATTCAATACTATCAATGTGAGTCATACCTCTTCATTCTTCTTCCTCAGTTTGCTTTATGCTGAAAATGTTGCAGGCACAGAATGATGATAAATTCATCAATTTCGGGCATGTTAGTTTGTCTTGTGATTCAACAAGCACTCTGGAATAAGTTTTATTGGATTTTGTCCAAATTCCATTGAAACAAATTTAGATTTCTGTAGTAAGTTTTCTTTCATTTAAATTCCATCTGGAGACTAAGCATGAAATCCAAGTGGAGTTTTTGAATGCATTGAAAAAATAGTTCACATGAGCATAAATGATGAAATCTGCACAATAATCTCTATAAGAGGTTCTGACCAATAATAGGAATTAGTTAAAATTTTCCTCTGCTAGGATGCAGTAAGTCATTTCAGTTATGATAATAAATACCAATTAGGTTGATATCAAATAGTTAGGTGCTATTAGACATTTTAGTTATGATTCCCTGGATTTCTGAGCTTCTCCAAGACACTAAAGACTACAAAATTTTCATATTGTGGTTGATCAAACTAAAAATTTTCCAAATACTTTGATGGTTGACAAGCAATGGCCCATTATGAAAATTGCATGCCAGACTAGACATGCGAAACATGCAAGGAAGAAGATGGAATGAAGGGATGGAAAGTGAGGGATGGAGTCACCTTCTCAATAGCGTTTCTCTGGAAGTCAAAGTTCACCGGCTTTTCATCAGGTGACTGGATGGAACTCGTCCGGGAGAGGGTCTCCCCTTCAAACTGGGCCCACTGTAAAAGCACAGCCAGCCACCTCCTCCATCTCACTTCCTTCCTTTCCTTACTTATCTTTCCACCTCCCTCCTCTTTCACTACTCCCTCTCACTTCCCTCCTTCTTATCACAGCACATCCTTTCTCTTTCCTAGACTTCCTGGCAGATGATGATTATATTTACTTATTAAATGACATAGTGCATGCCCTGTGCAGGCATTGGCCCATCCCATTTTTACTGACCCAGCCTGGATGTAGTTATTTATTTTTTCCCAGTCCAATACAGTAAATATACTGAATACCAAAATGCTGATGCTCATATCTCACTTTGTTTGGCTTTGGAGGTGCAGTGGCTGCATCTTCATCTGTACTCTTCAGCTGTCCATTTGTGATGTTTGTAGGCATAAGTGATGTAGGAAGAGTCACTGGGATTGGGATGGAATATCGCCTGAGGACTACTAAATGCATGGCAGAACAGAATTCCTCCAAGGACAAGGCTCCATCCTTTGTCACATCACATAGCTGCCTGTTTTGAGAAGCACGTTGCACATGCACCAATTGTGACAAATTTTCATTCAAATAAAGCTTAACTATGAAATAAAAAACCATAACCTTAACCTCACTGAATGTCTCTGAATGCCAACCATTTGGACACACACATAGGCTGAGAAAAGGCTCTCTTGCCAAAATCACTCAAAGGATATTAGAGGCAACTTTATTATGTACAGTAGCTTGCTACCCTTGCCAATGATTTATGCTGTAAAATGGGGACTGCATGGAATTAGGATAGGCCTTCATTTAAATAATCAAATCTACTTGGACCAAATACTACTGATACAGGTTTTGAGATAAACTGAGCATTAGCCTAAATTCAGCCTCATTTTCATCTTTCAATTATTGGTGTTTTCCCAATGGTGAAACTGAAGTGTGTAAAGGATGAGTCTCCAGGTAACACTTGGACTCTTCTCTATCTTAAAAACCTCTTAATTCCTTCTCCTCATCTCACCCACAATGGCACCAATATAAGGAAAGGGAAAAGAACAGTTAGAGGCTACTTGAGGCTTGGAATAGCCAAATTGGTTTCCTCTCTCTTCCAGGAATGGAGTCACTTAGTATAATAACATTCAATCCCTATTACAAGCAAATTGTCCTCCCTCATGCATACTTAAAATGGGGTTTTTCTGTATTTAGCAGCAGGAAGTAATAATCCACCCTACAGCCCAATGTGATACACAGGGATGGTATTCTGGTTAGAACTTGTTGCTTGAGGATCATTCTGCAATAAAATAAGCTAACTGGCAAAAAATATACTTGAATTTTTGTCTGGTAATGATTCAAACTTTCATGTCTCAGATGAGGGTTAACAATAGATCCATTATGTATGGCTATACTTGTTGATCCATGCATGACCTATTGATACTGGTGTGAACAAAATAAATTTGGTGTTCCAGTAACACTGCACGGGCAGACAAGCTGGGTATCCTAATACATTACATGAGTCAGAAGAATGTTTTAACTTGCATTATGTTAAATCCATGCATTCCCACAATTATCTCTTCTTCCTTAAATTAGATGCAAAAAATTAACCCCCTTACTGAGTTATGTCTTTTGACATTTTACCCTCCCATAGGTTAAAATTAAGGTTGCCACGATAGATCAATGCATCGATACTACTATCGATGGTAGGAGGTATTGATAGTTTTTTCAACCATCACGATGCATCAGAAAAAGATTTTAAAGGGGAAATGCCCCATTGGATGGAGGTGAGTACGGTATGACACAGTCCATCTGTGTGGGGAAAGAAAGAGGCAGTGTGACCAGTATGGACTTGCAATTTCTTATCACAATCAAATTCTGGAATGACTATATGAAAGACAGGAACGAAAAAAGTTGGATCAGAGACAGGAAGTGGGAAAAGAGAGGGAGGGAAGACCAAGAATAGTTTTTTCTCTTCTGTTTCAGTCTTCGGTTTGATATCATGAGATACATGCCATGAAAATGGACTGTTCTTATACCCCCTTGATTTCGAAATGTACATTGGTGGTACTTTCCCCTCTCTATATGTTTCGACAGCCACCGATATGGCACCATTGGCAGGTTTGCTATCTGCCAGTGCCAATGTCCAAAGAAGACCATGTAGAATGAAGAAAATGAGAAAAAAATTACATGAATGGGCTTGGCAATTGATTCTCAATGGCAAGAACAAAAAATTAGGGCTGTCCTGGGGCATCCATCAATGAATGGATATCATCCTTGATATTTGGAGGCATGGTAGGTTTCATTACTCATTGCACAGGTCACACCTTCCTCCCACACTCCCTGACCACAAGCGTGAGATTATGGAAGACAGATACAGGTCTGCGCTCTGATTGAGGCAAGAAAAGATTGAATCCTCCAGTGCACCCCCCCCTCCTTTGATGCATCGATACACTATCGATGGTTTAGGTTGATGCATAAATGTTTTGAAAATTGCTATCGTGACAGCCCTAGGTAAAATGTATTTCATGAAAAACTTCTTAGTTAAGGGTGAATGATAAATCTACATTGTATCTACAGGGTGAGGGGGGGAAGGGGGAGGGAAAATTTGTTTTCTTCTCTTAACATTAATAAATTAAGCCACACAGGTGGCATGCAGACCAGATTCATATTCTCACCAGATGGCTGAAAGTTCATGAATAGGGAGTCCTGACTTCTCAAAAAACCTCCTTGCTTCTTGTCCTGGGAGGAGGCCAAGAAGGTCTGGTTGCATTTTTCTGAACTGCTCAGTGTAGTATATACGTTGCTCTTGATTGATCTCCCAGATAGAAACATCTTCTTTTTCCTCATCACTCTCTGAATGTCGGTCAGATGATTCTTCTTCAGTTCCTAACAGTTGCCTCCTTTCTTCAATGCTCACTATCAAGATAAACAAATCCTATTTATAACATGCTTAATTATAAGTGCAACAGACACAAGTCCATTTAGGCAGATTACAAGCTAGGGTTTATAAAGAACAATTGAACATGAATTTAGAGTTTTTCTCAAAAGAAAAAGTATTACTATTCAAATATAGCTCTGAAGCCCTGAAGCAAACCCCATTTCCCACTTGTTTTTTTTTTTCATAGCTGGCATATACATAGCTAGCACAGGCACCATGGCACTTCAGTTGAACCTCCTGTGTTGGCTAGAATCCCTGGACAAAAGTTGAGATTTCTGCTTACCATCTATACTCCCAAAGCCCTTTGTTTAGAACAACAGAAAGATTCAGCAGAGCTCATTTTACAGAGGGAAGGGCTATAAGGATATGTATACATGGCAGCTGGATCATGCATTACAAAGCAAGAAGTTATTTTAAATTGAATGATGATAACAAATGGCTGACTTTAAGGGGGTCAGCTGTCTCTAAGAAAAAATTATGAAATAAAAATCTAAAAAAAAAATAAACTCGAGTTTCTACCATGCTAAGGTACTATGGCCAGTCAACTGACAATGGCAAAACTCATAGCAAGTAATTTTTACAAATGGAATTAATGGAATTTTACATGAGTCTTAAGTACACTGGAGTAGTACTGAAAATGTAACTGCTTGCAGAAGATTGTGTGCACTGTGACCTGGCAAAGATGGCTACATCAACTGAAGGATTTCCAAGGAATATCAGAGCTGTGACTCAGTGTTTGTGAGCAGAAAGTGCAAAACCACATGATATCCGTGATAGAATGGTTGCCATTTATGGGGAGGCATGTTCATCACAGAGAAGAGCATATGAATGGCACAAATGATTTGCAGTGGACACCTAACCATGAGGACAAACCCTGATCTGAACCAGCTAATTGCTGTCATCATGGATGTGAACAATGTGAGGGTGGATGAGGTGATCAGGGCCAACAGATGGATATCTCTGAATGCCATGGCTGTAAGAGAGGGGATTAACCATGGAACTGTGCACACAATTGTCCACTATCAACTCCAGTATGATTTGGCAGACACCAAATGGAATCCTAAGTGCCTCACCCAAGATTAGGAAAATGTCTGCAAGGCTCTTTGTCACACAACTGCAGCACTATCATGCTGAAGGGAATATCTGTTTTGGCCAGAATTTTAGCATGTGATGAAACCCTGGGGTCATAATTTTGAGCCTGAGCCAAAAAATGTCAGCACACAGTGGAAGCATTCACTATCTCCCCCCACTGAGATGCCAATAAACCAAAAACAGCCTCTGAGGCTACCATAGGGTTGGCAATGATGAAAAATAAACCTGAACTCATGGGACATTTCTGAGTGCAAATACAGATTGGATTTATAGTAAAGCAAGCTGTAACAGTGACCTTGATCAACAACTTCTGGAAATCAAACATCTTGCTACTTAAGTCAATATGAGGAGACTTTTTCATATCTTTACAGTTAGAACATACCAACTTTAGTCAAAATCCAAGTCAGTCAACAATCACATTTTTCTTTATTTTAACCCTGCTTTTCCAAGGGCAAGGATGCTTAAGGGTGGTAACCCATGAAAATAGGGGGTTGATGACCAAAAATCATGAGTTTTGTTTTTTGGCTTTTTAAATAAATACTTTGCGCACTTGAGAGCAATTTGGGAGAGTCCTAGCACCTGCACATGGTGCCATCAGTTGTGAATGGCCATTTTTAAATGGCTTCTGCCTGTCTTTTTTAAATTTTTAAATGCCATTTTCCAAAAACCATTTTTTTTTTACTGCTTACCTTTCTTCAAATTTATATAATTCAAAAACAGTTTGAGATATCTGCCTCAAATTTTGTGCGTGCTTTGCTTATGATTTTTATTATTATGCATACTCATTTATTATTATCATTGCAAGTATTTATATTTCTTACAAAAAGTGAATTTCTTGAAATATATTACTTCAGATACTTAGTGCTCTGACAATACCAATACAGCTATTGAACTATTAATAAATACAAAATGTTCCTGGTTTCATCCCCTTCAATTCAAGCTATAACAGAACCTCCTGCACCAATTAAAAGGCTAGTTTTATCCACTTTGTTAGGTGTATGCACTTCTTTCATTTTTTTTAGGTTAATGGTCAGAACTTGGAAACACCACTGGACTTTGCATTAAAAAGGACCAAAGTCAACCATCTAATTGAAGCATATGGTCAAAATAAACAAAAAGTTAAAAAATCAATTTTCATGGGTTACCCCCCTTAAAAGAAGGCATTTCACCATGTCAGGGAGTCAACAATGAAACCTTCAAGCTTTGCCAGTGCAAATTTCCATCCATTTGACCAATTTTGCCAGAAGCCTGTAACTGCATGATAGATGCTTGAAAAGTTTTACAGTTCTACTTCACAGCATCTAGTAGCTTTTACATCAGGCCCAATGTGAAGTGCAAGCACTCAATTTGAAAATCCCAGAGCCTTGGTAGAATGGAGTTGCAGGAATTGGTAGCCTCAAATGAACCTGAAACCTCAAATGAAATATGGACATATCCCAATTAATCAGTAATATTTTTCATACACAAATGCTGCCATTGGGCTCCAACAGATGGGGAAGGAGCAGGGGAATTTGAAGAGCTTGAGCCAGATCGAGACTTATACTCTTCAGAGACATCTTCTTTTGCAGGTTGATCACAATCACAACCCTCCTCTTCATCGGAACTATCCTTCCTCTTCATCCCACTGTTCCCTGAACCATCTTCAGACTGTAAGACAGGAATGTGAAGGGGTTCAACCATCACCAGGGTCAAGTGAATTATAACAAAATTGCTTGTATAGGCCAAGGTCAGAAAAAATAAAAACACAGTTCAGCAATATTGATGAATCTCAGAATGAATAAAAAACCAATATTCGTGCTAAATTAAAATTTATTCAAGTAATAGGTATAAGGTTAACTGAAAAATGACACCATTACTGCTGACACTGGGCCAACCCTTAGGCTTTATCTACAGTCACATAAGTCAAATTGTAAAGACCACGATACTCATGCCTTCACAATGATTCACATTTAAAAGTGAAACCCACATGTTGAAAGTCAACTAGCAATCTGGTGAATGAAAGGAATTTTCAAGAATATGAAATCCCCCCCTGCATGGGGATTTGGAAAATTATCACTTTAGTGACTCATTCCACAAATTTAAAACTTTTATCAACTTCATAAAAAAAAAAATACATTGGGTTTCTCAACCAAATACAATTAATATAGTTCAACTCCTTGGTTATGCTTGGTTTCTGCCATCGAGGACAAGTAGACTTAATCATGTTACATGTGAAAAAAGGAGGAAGAGCTGAAATAGAATTGACAGCCTTAGTTAGGGGCATACCTTAGATATAAATGAAAAAATAAAAGCAGAATGAGGGAAAAAAGGGAATAGGGGTCATGGGGTCAAAACTTTGCATTGATGAAACCACTGCAATTAAGTTTTAAAAAAAAGATCAATTAAGTTGTATTTAGAATTTGGATAAAGACTGCCTTTGCAATTGGTTTCAACTTAGATATCTGAAGGAGCACCTTGAGTTTAAGGACTTCTTCTTACACTTTGAAAATAGCCTTTGTTTCTATCGAGGGCAATAGAGTATCACATGTCTCTAAACATAAGTAAAAAAAAAAAAAAAGGCTAAAGGAATTCAAGAACACGTGGGGTGAGAACGAAAAGTTGGAATGGAGGATCATATTTATGGAAATATAAGCATTGAGGATTGGAGTGTAGCAGTACTCTGGTAAAAAAATAAAAATAAATAATAAATAAAAATGAATGCATTAACCATATATCAAAAGACCAAAATGAGCATTCTCATCAAATAAATAAATAGCTGCTTCAGTTGAGCAGGTGATGCTGATGTCAATATTTCAATAATAAGATGGATGAACCATCATCCGGTTCCCCATCCTCCCCACAATGAAGAGAAACATTCTAGAATCACAGCAACAGATGATCTAACATAGCAGAAGCATGTAAACTATTAAAGCATAAAGACAATGCTGTAGTCACTGTTCTGAACACCCTCTCCAATAGCTTACCCAAGATACTGTCTCTAATCTGAATCCATCATGCATTCAAACCCTATGTACTATTCTGTGGTATGGAGTCCACTCATAAAGGAAGGTATAATTACCAGGGAAAATGTACAAAGGGCAACAAATGTCTTCATGAGCTATGAAACCAAATACCAGTATATGAAAATGGACAGTCATGTGCACTACAAATACAGGGTGGCCCAAAAAAAAGGTAATGAAAATGTAATACGTTAATTTAGCTTATCACAAGTAACTTCAAAGAAATACATCACAGCTAACCTTGAATAAAGTATTAGGCAGAGTTCATACTCATGCAGTACAGCATGCTGGATGCTGTGACTGCATACTATCCAATGCAACATGCCTGTGTTGGATTGGATTTTGCCACTGCTGTAAATGCTGTACAACATGAGTATGAACACAGCCTTACACTTGTTGAACATTTGTTGTAATTTCAACCAAATAATGAAAATAAAAAAGCAACTGCTTCATATCAACAAATATTTAAAAAATTCAATACAAGGGCAGATTTATCAAGAGCAGCATAATCACCATGGGGATGTTCATTATTGAGATGTTTCACAACCTGATTTTTGGCAAATAGCAGATTTTAAAGGGCTTCTTCAATGACCTATTAGGATATTATTAACTCAGCTAGCTAGATGTTATGAGTCCAATATTATACATTCTGGTTATATGAATAAACATCCCCTAACCTTCTAATAACAGCATCATAGTCTCATAATAAAAAAGGACCCTTTAGTAATGATCCCTAAAACTTTAATGTTAGCAATGTTGAACTCATTCAGTTGACATCTGATATTTCAATAAAGAAGTGTTTAAAAAAACCATTGATTACTGATATGTGCATAACTTATTACAGTGAAAATTCAATTATATGAAACTCTTCTCTGGAAGTTGAAAAAAAAAACTAAAAGAGCCATACTCAAAAAGTTAATGTGGTCATTGTCCTCTGCCATTTCCTTATAATCTGCATTGAATAGAAACTGTATAAAATTTAACTAAGTTGTTTTATAAGTTACTCTCTAAAAAGTAATCAAGTACCAGTAGTGTAGCCTAAGATTTCCTAGCGGGAAGCACATTTATGGGGAGAACATTTATTTATTGTAAAACTGTGCTTAACATGGATTGGACTTTCAGAAAAGTACTTTTAGGATTCAGGATAGTTAGTGATATCAAGAGGCGATTTCGCCCATTTCAATATCACGTGTCGAGGTCGAGCATTCCTTAATTGTAGGGTAGGCCTAATCCTCTTAAAGCTAAATATTTTTGTATTTTTGTTTTGCTTTTTTTTTTTGTTGTTGACTATCCTAGTTGCTTACTGTCTAGTACCTAGCGTCAGCATTGCCCCCCACCGTTTTGCCTGTCCATGAAAGCATCTAGTTTCTTCTTAACGATAGTCACAGAAGGGGCAGGACTTTGGCTATTTTATGGCAAAAAGTTTTCTTATTATATTCAAAATATAACTAAATTACAAAATTGAATCAGGTTCACTCCAAAGTAGCAAAGTAGTACAGCCGGACCATGTCTAATTACTTCCTGAAACTTGTAGAACCAATAAACCTGTAACGATAGCAATAATAAGGTATGGGATATGGAACATGTCCTACTAACTTTATAAGTCTAACGTTTGGTTTTATCTAAACTTTACTGGTAAGTGCTACTTCTAATGGTAGGCCTATTTCTAACCAAACTTCACAAACTACTCTAACTTTTACCTGTTTCTTCCTGTGATTTTCAAGGACTTCGTAATCATGGCTATGAACGGCAGGCGCGGTAATAATCTGGGAGTTCTCAGCATCACTGAGTTGAATAAGATCTTGAGTAGATAAAACTGCAACTGGCGTAGAATTTGAACCCACGATCCCACTCATTTTCTTTCAAATGGTCCTCCAACTTCCAGTTTTGACAGAGCCGCACTGTTCAGGCTCATTCTTGTTGGGGAAACTGAAGAAAGGAAAATCAAAACAGATTGTGGGCCAGGCCCAACTTCCCACAGTTTACCTCCATCTTTATGGATAGCTTGAGAGACCTCCGATCAGATGCGGGACGTCGGAGTAGGCTATCCCCGTACCGCGAAACAGAAAGCACAGTTAAGTCGAAGCATGACATCAACGACCAGTATGGACACCTCTACAAGCAGGATGCCTCAGTTGTGTCGTCTGCTACTTCATCACTCCCATGTTCATGATCACTCATACAGTTTTCGGATTGAAACATTGGAGCGCTTCCATCGATGGCAAGCAGTGACATCTTGCGGATGGGCGACTAAGGTCTCCGATCCCCAACCACTGAGATAGAGGTCTCCCTTCTATACCTCAGTGTCCCCAACCTATGGAGTCCTGCACGGTTGCCGAATTCGGAATCTCACTCTCATGACCAGGACAGACTTGGTTCTAGCCAATTTCATTCCTGTATAAAGAATGACAGGTACGACGACTTCAATTCCTTCTCTTGCTTGCTGGGTTTTGAACCAAATTCAAACAAACTCGCTATGGTAAACAAACTCGCTATGGTCGCGCCTTCGGCGATCGATCTAAGAAATTTATTTATTCAGTTGAAATACCCTTTTTTTATGTGGTAAAATATGCATTTTTCATTGTGCTGTCAAGTTCCTTCTGATTGTATGACTTCATTGGCAAAGAAGCCATCGGAGGTCATTCGTTTCTTAAACTAATCAACCCAATAGATATTTCTGTATAATGTTTTAACTTTCTAGGGCTGCCCAATCGGCATAGGGTAAAGATTTCAATAAAGATTTTACTTTTGCGGTAATCCCCTTAGGGTACTTTTTTGGGTGTTGACCAATTTCCAGAAAATTTTCCGCTTGAACAAAACGGAGATACTTGGGAAGCTGAATATTGGCATGCAAGTAGCTATTGGAATCATAAGCTAAGAAAAAATGGTAGGTTTTAAATATACAGGGTGGTTATAAAGTCTTGCAATTATTTCTGGGAAGAATAACTCCGTAACAAATAATCCAATTTGCATGAAATTCAATACATATGAAGTCATGGGGATGTGAATGGAGTCGCAAAAACAGGTGACGCTCCATTAAGCTACAACTGTTCGATATGTGCCCGGTCCTGATCAAGAACAGAATTGAGACGCTTCAAATTTCTGGGCGAGACGATGAACGGTTGACACATTGCAAAGACCCCGCCGTAGGTTTCTTAGCCTATGGAAGTCTCACAGAGCTGCAGCAGCGTTTTTACCTGTCTGGTAGAAAAGTTTCACAAGAAGCACTTTCTCCTTTGGAGTCATGATGACCAATGCCGATCAACGTGTCAATGCACTCATTATATAGCGCGCACTCGTGAATACATCGTCACGTGGTGGCAAAAGTTTGTGCTGCTGTCATTCTAATCCCCATGACTCCACACGTATACCCTGTAAATTTCATGCAAATCGGATACACTGTTATGAAGTTATTTATCTCGAAGGTGATTGCAGGACTCTATAACCACCCTGTATATCCCCCCCGGGCATATTTTTTGGCGAACAAGTATTTCCAGACTTTCTCTATCTCCAACAGAAATGGGAAGACATGGAGAGCTGAAATTTTTGCCATGCAAGTGATTCTTGGAGCATTGATTTCACAAAGAATCTTCATTTTGAGGTAAATCCCCTCAGGACACTTTTTATTTGAGAGAGACGCTTTTTCCAGGAATGTTTTCGCTAGAGAGACGGAGATAGCAATTCAATATCTGTTCTCCAAGTTTCAACTTTCTAAGTACAAGGAAAATCCCATCTTTGAGATATATCCCCTGTGGGAAAATTAGTGCTGGGAAGTATTTCCATATCTTTTTCTCTCTAACAAAAGTGGAAGATATAAAGAGCTGAAAGTCTACACACAAGAAATTCTCCGAGTAATGATTTCAATAAAAATCTTAGTTTTGGGATACGCCTTATCAGGGCACGCCTTTCAACTGAATATTTTACACTACATCAAAAAGGGCAATTATTGAAAGCTGAAATTTGCTATACAAGTACAGTAGAGGCCGCTTATTGTGATCACTAATAATTCTTATTAGCCGGACAATGTGATTAAATCTCGAAAGCCAAAACCAATAGCTGGTGGCGTTGATTGCCGCCGCCTATTGTGATTCAGGCTCAGGCTGCCCCCATTACTAAGAATTTCTTTATCCTCCTTTGTTTATGAGTCATAGGTTGTGGTTCACAATGGATTCACAATAAATACACCTTAAAAAATTGACAAATGAGTGTCATTTAAATGTGCACTTAAAATGTGCTTCAAATGACATCAAAGGTAAAAATCCATGGGTGTACTAATGCTGGAAGGTGCTTCAGGCCTTCCAGAATGAGGCTATCTAGCAGACTTCCTATTGCTTAGCACTTCTCACAAATGATAAGAAGGAACCTCCAGCGAGACTGACAGTGTGTCCTGAAATGTCTTTGCACTTGAATGGAGCAGCAATGCAACCCCATCACGAAACAACTTTTCTTTCTTCTACATTTTGGTGCGGCACTATACTAACTTTCGGCAATGTGCTCAGCCATCCCTAAACCTGGAAAGGAAGTAAAAGAGAACGCGTGGAGTTCTTGGGTTGAACTGGGCTAAAATCGTTGAGAGAAAAAGTAGCAAAAGAAGGAGTATCAAAGAAGAAACCATTTTGGCTCCATGATCGTTCCGTTACAAATGAACAAGTGACTCCAAAAAACTTTCACATTTCCATCACTCCGAAAAGTTTCAACTTAGCTTTCGTAGTTGGGCTTCAAAATAAAAAATATATATTTTTGGCAACAGATTTTGTGCCCACCCTGAGTATCAGATGTTGTCCTCTTGAGGCCGGGGGGCCTCTGTGGACGCAGGGTTACTTCCGCCGGCCATGGAACCTTGGACCTTGAACCTTATGTATGCCTTGGTCAGGAATTTAATGAGAAATTGAATAAATGGTTAAGGATTAAGTCCAAGGCTATTCATGAACAGGATCGCAATATAGATGTCTCTGTCGATCCTCCACCTTAAGCTGCGGACTCCACGAGACATTTGTATTCCATTGCTGATCTCTATGTGGGTTGAATCTCTGAATGAATCGAATTCCGATTATACTGCAAAGCAGGGACGTAGCCAGGGGGGAGGGAGGGTGTCTGGAAACCCCCGGAATGAAGCAAGATATCATGAAACAAGGAGTATGGGAGTGACAGGATGTGAAAAGTTTCACATATACTACTGAAGTTTCGACTAGTACTCCTATTTCACCTTCTGAATACAATCGCTCTTAAATTAATACAGTGCCCCCCCCCCATTTTGCTCCCATTTCTCTACCAGTTTTTTTAGTTCCAGTGGCAAACCATGATTCAGGAGTAGCTTTTATCCACGATATTAGAACTAATTCAAAGTCAATCCTTGACCCATATCTCTTTTCATGCAAAAAAATTGAAATTTTGGGAAGAGAAGGGGTTATTTTGAACTACTATGAGGTGGGTGGAGTTGAAGACTCGAAAGGGCTTTCGAAGTTTTCCTCATTCCTCCCAACCACTCACCTTCCTTAGCCACTTCGTCATCTCATGAGCCTGAAAGAGCCTCAGAAGACATACGTACCCCGAAAGCAGTGGCGTATTTTGGCTGAGGGGTCGGGGAGGACATGGCAACAGCACGGGGGCACCATGCCCTACCCTAGCGATATCAGGTGGTGAAATTACGAGGGGCGTACCAAAAGTATCGAGACTCTGGCTATAATTGAGGAGTTCTCTGGAAAAAGGGTGTAAGTGCCCATACGCCCTTTTTCCATCTCTATCCATGCGCTGCTTTAGGTGATTTGTCATAGAATAAGGTGGTCAGCAGTTAGTTAAGTTTCGTATTCAGCAAGGGAGAAGCAGATTTTCCTATGCTTTCACTTAATGGCAGACCCACTGCCTGACAATTTCAATATGGCTGTCTCCATGAATATTCCATTAGCACCTGCATCACTGAACAATTTTTTTCTGGAATAATTCCATTCTTTCGAACTGAAAGTGAAAATGAGGAAGAAACCAAATAGGGGGAAAGGGAAAAAAAAAGAGGCAGAGTCATCCAAACCCCTGGAAGGATGCCAGAAGTTGGCGAAATTCATGAAACAATTGGAGATTCAGATGATCAATAAAGTAATAATTGATCATTGATGAGTAATTGGTGAATCAAATTCGTCCTGAATATTCACATTATTATTGTCATTCTTTCAGGAAGAGTTGATTTGAAATTTGTAGATAGTGTACTTATTGGTAAATTATTATTTTTAACTAGAAAAAATGGAGTGAAAGACTGGCTGGAAAAAGTTTCAGCAGCGCAGATATGGAAAAAGGGCGTATGTCCATAAACACTTTCTGCCTGCATTCCAGCAATGACAGGTAAATAAATTCATTAAAACCCCAAGTTCAATTGAAAAGAGGTCTAAGATACCATTTGACTGAAAACTGAGTTTGGACCAGCTGCAGATTAGCTATGGGAAGTTTTTGCCGTTTATCTCGAATTGCATCATTTGCGCATACGCCCTTTTTCCAGAGAATTCCTCAATTTTCTTAATGTGTTTGCTACGAAAATATAATCCAGTTTCCTTCAATGTGTAACCAATATGCAATGCACACTCAGAAGTACAAGTTGCTCTCTCTTATAATTAACAAAATACAGACAGTGAAAGGAACGCATGCACCAGAAAATACAGACGCGACAACACATTCTTCATCTTGTGGATCATCATGAACCTACTCCACGTAGTCCCCTTTGACTGAACTCATGATGCCTGAACTGCGGATTGATGAACTGAACCACTGTGGTTCAGGGCATCAATCCGCAAGTGTGAATCGCGGTGGCAGAAATGCGTCCACCTCCACCTACGTGGAGAAGGTTCATGATGACAAGATGACTGTGTTGTCGCGTCTGTAATTTCTGGTGCATGTGTTCCTTTCACTGCCTGCATTTTGTTAATCNACTCACTGAGCAGGAGATGAGATGTCTCCCCAATTATGTTCTGCAGGGTGATATTCCTGCCAGGTGGATTGATGGCCAGGTCCAGAAGGAGCTGAATGAGTACTGGGCCAGATGTTTCCACTTGAAGGAGGAGGTTGACCAACATCCCAATAAGGACTGGGGCAGTTGAGAAATACTTCCCCAGCCATTGAGGAGCCTGCTTTGACAGGCATTCAATCATCTCTCTTGACACTGAAATTCATTCATCAATAAGGACATTTTTTAAAGGAGATTGAACCAAAATCCTATTCAGAAAGGAGAGACATACAGAGCTGTGGAAGGTCATCAGTGGCAGCTTGGAGCAAAAGATGTGACATGGAACAAAGTTGAATGATGTAGGGTACAACAGAGAGATTCTCTTCCTTCAATGGATCCTCTTGGATTCCCTAGTCATAAACATTAACATTTCTCATTAGTCACTGTCTATCCATCTCCTTGAGACTTAATAAGATTTTTTTTAAGAGGCCTGAATCATTCTTACCCTGAACATGAGAACAAGTGCAGACTTGAGGCCACCATAATGACTGCTACCTAAGTGTCCCAGAATTCCCACTACTGACCCAACCTTATCTCCCTGGGAATATGAGAGAAGATAAATATATTATGTATGCAAAGGAAGTCTTTGTTTAATATCATTGTTCTGAGAGACAGCTTACTCTGACACTGGCCCCATTCATAGAAAAGTGATAGTTCTTGTGGCCACATTGAAGGACCTGACTTATGATAGTCTGTGGGAAGCAGCTGCCAATGTGTGCAACCACCCAATCAAAATGGGGACTGTGCTTGATGCTTGTGTCTGAAACAATAAGTGAATGATTAGAAAAAAAGGCATGGAAATGCCTTTCTCTGTCAGAGACATACCGGATCTCTCCGTGATATTTGGCAACCCCCTACCTTTTCTGCGAGTCGCCTCTTTGCCCTGACTCTGGAACACCAGCTAACCTATCCCCATTCTAAAATCAAATAGAGCATCTGGAAATAGTATGACGCCAGACTCCGAATTCACAGCTTCCTCTTCATTCCAGAATGTCGTGGTTTTCTAAGAGTAGAAGTTTAAAAGAGGAAGAAGGAGAATAGGAGTAGACGACATTAATTGCTTCAAAGCCAATATGTCCACTTGCACAATTCGAGGTCGGCTTTTTATGTGTAGCCCCATTACTTTTACGATCTGATACAGAATAGAGCTATGACTTCTGGAACTGGAAGACCAGAAACCTCAGATTGCGTTGGGGAATTTTCTCTATCCGAATTTCGTAATTTCATTTCGGGAGCGACTAGTACGCAGCGGGGACGGTATGGTTTTCCCTCCGTTGGCAGTGGGCCTGGTGCTCCTCAGCAAGTGAAACCCAAAGAAATTGTCAGGAGTGCAATTTATCTCTTGAAAACTCTCCCTTTGGCGAGAGATGCCGCTCTCATATATCTGTCTGGTCTCTTTGATGCATCTGTTACTCGATACGTCTCACAATTGCAGGTAGGCCTACGGTTGGCGTAGGAATTCCTTGGTTTTAGCTAGCCTCAGTAAAGTGTGCTTACTGGCGGGTTTAGGCCTACTTTATTTAGCGATTCATTAAAAAAGACCATTATTTGGTCTATTTATTCTTTCCAGACCCTGCAGCCTTCCCAAGGAGGAGTGTCGGCATCATCACGATCGAACGAGGAGGAGTTGGAAGATGCAGCAATTCAAGAAGTCTTGGATACACTTTCAGGATTCTTGTGGGAAAGCCCTCATTGGGCACCCATTATCTCATCCTGGTCTATGGATCTCCTTGGTGAGATGACTTTGACCATAGACATAACTTTAGCCCCATCTAATGCCCAACTGAAAACTTTCCATCAGTGCCTTTGATTTAGCATACTCTGGGATTACTTTTTAGGGGAACTGTCATGCAAGTATGCATCTAGGGCACAATTCCAATTGGGTGGAGGGCTGAATGAAGAACTTCAGGTGTGGTTGTCATGCCAAGTGACCCGGTCTCTCATTGATCTCACTGCCCAGTGCTTCTCTTCTCAACTCTCCTCTCAATCAGATGCTTCTATCACTGCATTACTTGGTATGTCTCTGACAGAGAAAGGCATTTCCATGCCTTTTTTTCTAATCATTCACTTATTGTTTCAGACACAAGCATCAAGCACAGTCCCCATTTTGATTGGGTGGTTGCACACATTGGCAGCTGCTTCCCACAGACTATCATAAGTCAGGTCCTTCAATGTGGCCACAAGAACTATCACTTTTCTATGAATGGGGCCAGTGTCAGAGTAAGCTGTCTCTCAGAACAATGATATTAAACAAAGACTTCCTTTGCATACATAATATATTTATCTTCTCTCATATTCCCAGGGAGATAAGGTTGGGTCAGTAGTGGGAATTCTGGGACACTTAGGTAGCAGTCATTATGGTGGCCTCAAGTCTGCACTTGTTCTCATGTTCAGGGTAAGAATGATTCAGGCCTCTTAAAAAAAATCTTATTAAGTCTCAAGGAGATGGATAGACAGTGACTAATGAGAAATGTTAATGTTTATGACTAGGGAATCCAAGAGGATCCATTGAAGGAAGAGAATCTCTCTGTTGTACCCTACATCATTCAACTTTGTTCCATGTCACATCTTTTGCTCCAAGCTGCCACTGATGACCTTCCACAGCTCTGTATGTCTCTCCTTTCTGAATAGGATTTTGGTTCAATCTCCTTTAAAAAATGTCCTTATTGATGAATGAATTTCAGTGTCAAGAGAGATGATTGAATGCCTGTCAAAGCAGGCTCCTCAATGGCTGGGGAAGTATTTCTCAACTGCCCCAGTCCTTATTGGGATGTTGGTCAACCTCCTCCTTCAAGTGGAAACATCTGGCCCAGTACTCATTCAGCTCCTTCTGGACCTGGCCATCAATCCACCTGGCAGGAATATCACCCTGCAGAACATAATTGGGGAGACATCTCATCTCCTGCTCAGTGAGTCTTCTGGGTTAATTTGATATCATGAAAGTGTGAAATATCTACATATCATCTATGCCATCTTTTGCAGTGTACCTGATCAAGGAGGCATATGGGCTGCTGCGGAGTCGAGGTCGAATGACACAGATGAATCTAGGCCTTGTATCCTCTGTCAATAATCCCCTCATCAAGAGCTTCTGTGATTCCCTTAAAAATTTTCTCCCACTAATGCTGGATGAGTCCATGGTGAGGGCAAAATTTGCCACCAAGCTAATGGCTGCTCTTGCACTCATGCCTGGTAATTGTGCAGCTGTCAAAGTACTCAAGTATCTACTTGGACATTCATCATCTGGTCAGCACCTTGGGATCTTGGTGGAGATGTTGAAATGCATTGAAGGCATCTGCCCAAATGCATTTTCAAATGCTCTTAGGGAATCATTCCATGAACTTTCAGATGGAATGTCATCAGGGCAAACACTGCATAATGTGCATTCTCTTGTGGTGTGGGAGGCACAGAATATGGAAAAAGTCCAGATTCATTCTGGAATTCGATCTGGTATTACAGAGCATTTTTCTCAGCTGGTTGGTCTTTTGTATTGTGAACAACTTGCCCAACCTACAGTTGAGATCTTGGCTCTCCTTCCTTTTCCTAGTCAGCTCAAACTGCATCATGTGATGAAGCTTGTCCATGGACTTCTTCACTTCTTCTTCTCTGCTTTGGACTTTAAGTGCTTTGAGACAAAAGTTCTTGCTATTCGTCGGACGGGAGATCTACTTCAAGTGACCAGTGTGTTGTACCCATTTGCACGAAACATCATCATCCGTGGGCTCATTGAGGGAGCATTGATTAGCAAGCACAATCAATATTTTGGAGCACACATTCACATCCCAGTGAAGTCATCTGACATGAAACTGATGAAGGAGAATCAGAAACTTGGATCAAGGGTCATTCTTCCACACAGTCATTCCTCTGTCTTCCATGCTGGGGTTATTGGTCAGGGACTCAAGAATCATGAGAAGAAAACTATTTTCCTGGGAGAAGAGCTTCTCTGGAATACTCAACTCCTCATCAACACAATTCAGGTTGGAATGCAGTAGGAATCAGAATTCTGGGAGCTTCAACAATTGGGAAATCTCTTTTGAAAAATGTGAAAAGCTTCAAAAACTAAAACCTAAAACTTCTTAAGAAATGTAATATACAGTATATGAGTACTTGCTACAAGCCAGGGCAGCATTTCAAGACAAAGCAGTTAGAAGAAATTTTCAATGGGGATGTCTTGTCAAAGGTAATCTTCATCCTCTCACCATGGAATAAAATTTCACATTTTAGAGCAGAAAGAGTGAAATTTTAGGCTCTTCCAAATGAGACCTACTGGAAAGCCCTAATATTCTACTTAAAGACTAAATGCAAGATATGATTTACAGATGTTGATTCCTGTAGGTTTCTAGCTTTTTTTTAAGAAATGAAGCTGAAATGGTTCATTAATCTAGTTTTAATCAATATCATTGTATTCAGGAGGATCTCAAAAACCTGGAGAAAAAAGGCATTGAAGCAATGAAGGTTTAATGAGGTAAGGAGAGGGCTTGGGAACATTATGTACACTGGAAGCATCCCTCTCATTCTTTGAATAACAGGATCAGATGAGCCTAATTTTGATGCTGTTTCAAATAGTTTTTTTTTTATATCATTGCTTTATATCATTACTTGGATCATTGAGTATGAGTGAAAATGAGGATGTGATTGTCATCATGTTATCAAAGAATGTCTCCCAGTTGTTGTCTTATGCTACATGCATGTCATTGGCATAGATGTCATCAGTCAGGTCACAAATTACCACCTAAAATTTTGCAAGTGTCCCTCTTTTTAAGAGAAATGTCAGATTTTTAAATGTTTCCTCTTATATGCCCTTGTTATATATGAAAAAACCCCATGATGTGCTGTGAAATGGTGCAATCAGGATGTAGGGTTGTATGATTTCTAGTCATATGTTGATAGAAATGCAGTGAAGTGCAGCAGGGGGGAGGGAAAGGGGAAAAAGAAAGGGAGAAGACAGATGAGGGGAACCTGTTAGACCTGGAACCTGTGGCTGGCCTCCTTGTGGAACTCCTCACTCCTGATGTCCTCTACAATGGATTCCAATGGCCTGAAGAAGACTTCATCAAGGTCTGCTAAATCATTTATATTTCATGGCTGTTATTAACATTTTGAGTGTTTCACTCTATTTGGGATTGCTAAATACCATCAGAGCTGTCTGACAGACCTAGAGTGGACAGGATAATGAAGATTAACCCATCCAATGCCTTCCTTTGTAACTAAGAGAAGTCAAGCATTTGGAGAATAATACAGTCAACCAGGCCCAGTAGAACACCATTCACAGACTGTACAGAGCAGTGCAAATGTCATGGTTGAATTAGCTTTATTGCAAAGTAGCTTGCAAACATTCATGTTTTCAAATATTTTCATTGCCTGGTGTGTTAGTTTGGACTTTTCCCCATAAATCATCCATGATGCTCTCTGTCTTGCTCAATGCCATGCATGTTGAATTATGTCCTGCACCCTCAACTTTTATTGTTATGAGAGTCATGGCCATAGACGTGTTGAGCATGATGGCATTTGCACAGAAACTATTCATCTTTGAACTACACATGTTTAATCATTAAAGATCTTTAACAGATTAACAATAATATAGTTTATAGTAAATATAGTATATAAATAAATTCATAGTAAATAAATATAGTTTAGGGTAAAACTACCAATGTTCAGACAGTTAAGCTGACCAAGCTTCATTATTCACTTATTCTATATCAATGGTACAAGCTGGAAGCCTCATTTTTTGTTCCTGGGAGCATGAAATGAGGAGGTATAAGTGCTACAAAGGTGTTGTCCTTCTTAGCCTTATGACTTCTGATATTGCCCATAAAACTTAATGTAGGTGTTCCAACTTAAATGTGGAAAAAGTTAAGTTCGAACACTTTTACCTTAGTTTGGACACCCCCATTTTAAAGTCTCAATGAGGCTTGAAACACTTGATTGTGATGCAAGGGAATGATAACCTGGTCTCAAAGTATTGGACCTTTTCTCAATATTCTAGTATAGGAAGATTGTGATTGAGTGAGTGAGTGAGTGACTGACTGACTTACTTTCATTCTGTTCTAGATGAGATAGAAAGATCAAAGTTGTTTCTCGAAAAGCTCTGATTATGCAGATTTCAGGTAGATTTTTTTTGAAGAGGCACATCTTCATAATTTTTTTGTGCTAAAAAAATGGAGAGACATAGAAACTGAAAATTGGAGTATCTGTACTTATTAAGGAGCAGATTCCAGGCAAAAAAAGAAACTGCTTTTGGGATGCATTGCCTTGGGGCACATTTTGGATGGACTTTTCCAAAAAAAAAAAATTTATTTCCTGGGAATCATAGACACATAAGGCTGAAACCTTAATAAATGGGTACCTGCTGGTATGCACTCATAAGAGAAAATACTACTTCCAGGATTTATCTTCTAGGGGTAATTTTGGGGGGAGCCATATATCTTAATATGTTTTGCTATGCTGAATCAGGTGCTGGTGGACATAGAAACCTGGAATTTGAAACCTAGGTTTCTCTCCAGTTGCTAATTTCGGAAAATATCCATCTCTTGTGGTAAATCCCTTGGATGCACATTTTTCATTTGGGTCATATTTTCAGAATTGTTTTTAAAGCAGAATGTGCTGGCACAATTTGTTACATTCAGTAGACAAGTATTTATCTGCATGCTTAACTCAGAAAATATCCTATCTCAGGGAAACATCCCCACTGCGAATTTTGGAGGTAAAACTCCTAGAGGAGCATTTGTTTAGCAGATAGGTCCATCATAAGAAATGTTGGCCTTCCGCATGATATCTCACCCAAATAAAATTCTGATGACCTTTTCAAAAGCCTTGGGTCAATAATCCCTTGCATTCCAACCTCATATCATGATTGCATTGCTGTGGAGGCAGGCTGCACACCTAGGTGTGCAAAGTAACATATGATGCTGTATTTTTACGTATGTGCTTGATGGTGTCCGAAGTTAAATGTCCTGCTATGAAAGTTCGGACAGAACTAAAAAAATATGTTCCCTGAAAAGCAAGACTCAACTGAGCTTTTGTCAACTACATGCTTTTTCTCTCAATAGAGGACATAATATTTCTTGTAGGATTCTCCCTGTTTGCGATATCACATTCGCCCAAGTCCAATATCTTGGAATCGTGCAAAGTCTTCATCACCACTGCTTGCCCTTCACTCAGTAAAGTGTTCATCTCATGATTGGAAGAACTATTTCTGAAAGTGGCCTTGCGAATGCTGAGTTTTTTAACAATGTTTGTTACAGAGTCTGAACTTAGGTGGGTTTACCCTATGCTAAATAAATACTGTTTCTGTGTAGATGCCATCATGCTCAATGCAATTGTGTCTGTGACCATGACTCTTATAACAATAAAAGTTGAGTGTGCAGGACATGTTGTGGGGGGTGGCTCTGATGTGATTTAGTGTTACTGATTATCATGAACTGATCGCCAGCGTTTTTAAGGTTGTATTGACTCCGTATACTCCTAGTAATATAATAAGATTATTGTGACAACCAAGGTTGAGAGAGATCAATAGAGATAGGGATCTCAAAGGATGGTGGGGAGTTTTTAGAGGCTGATTGGTCAGCTTACTATACAATATATAGAAAAGATAATACCTATGTAATTGAGGTGGGGACAAAACAGAAGAACACTGTTACTTGAGAGTTTGGCCCATTCTTCATAGGGGATTGTTGTTGCCCCACCTTGAAGGTGGGGCAGCCACTGATTTCCACAGACTATGTCCCTCTACATGACACTCCCTGTTCTCTGCTCACGTGGCCCTTTTATTCTCTCACTTTAGGCATGTGTATTCTCACTTATTGTAACAAGGCTTAAATCACACTAAGTGCCTCCTACGATGTTTCAGCATGCATGGCATTGGAAATGACAGTTTGAGCATCATGGATAAATGTACGATCTATGGTGAATGGTCTAAATTAACATACCAGGCAATGAAAATATATGAAAAGATGAATGTTCGCAAGCCACTTGGCAATAAAGCTGATTCGATCATGACTTTTGGACCACCCTCCACATATTCAAGTCATAGGTTCATGTATGCAGGCATATATACTGTCTGGTTCTGAAGGGAAGGAAAGAGGCTGCACAAGTAAGCATTATAACTCCTATAGAGCCAAACTGATTGATTTAGATCCAGAACCTTCCAAGGATGATGCCAAAGTTCAAGGCAATCTATCAAAACATTGTCATTCTCAGATGAAGGAAAAAGGATCAAAATTCCCTTTTGTCTTTGTGAATAAATTTCTGTAAATTTGTGTGCTTCCATTTGTCAATTCATGGATGATATTCACTTCTCAGCACCCACAGATTCCCCGTTGTGAACAAATCCATTCAAAATTGAGCTTCTGCTTCCATGTTGAGATATCATAGAAGCATTTGTTTTGCTCCTAGGTGACAATTGAGAGAGATCTGGAGATCTGCCGTAAGCTGGCTGAGCTCCCCATTGTATGGGACTTACTGTTTCTGGTTGCTTCCTACTATCCAGCACTGCATTGTTGTAGCATCATCCTCCGGGCTGTTGTGGCCAACCTCATCCAGTTCTGGAGCACCAGGCAGGTGAGGAAAGGTCTTCTGTGGTTCTCCTTTGGTGTCTGTGTTACATTTGACTCAATGTTGTCCTGTTGTGACTGCCACAGGGTAGCAGGTCTCAAGATTGGCCCAAGCAGGTGCAAGAGACCCAAAGGATTATCTATCTCATGGGCAGAGGCCAATTACTACCTCTTCCTTTTTCTCTGGCACATGAGATCATTCCTCTCCTTGCTCCTTTTGAGGTTTTATATCCTTCTCCCTGTACATATGAATATTCTTCTTAGAGTGATTGATTTTTTGGATTGTCTGCAGGTGCATGGGATCCTGTCAGACATCTGGCATTTCATGCGGGAGAATTTTCCAACTCCCATCGTAGATGGATCCCGACTCCATTGGCCAAGTTCCTCATTGGCATCACTCAGGTGCAACAGGAAGTTTACTGAGAAGCTGAGACTCATTTGCATAAATAACATGGACAGACTGGGGATATTTTACAGCAAACTTCTTCCCATAGAGTATGAGGCTTCCAATATGGATTGTGGGGGATGTTGATCCTTACTGTATGTTTATTGGAGAAATAAACCAGTATCTGGTGAAAAGATTATTACAGCTGCAGCAGAATTGTTGGCATATGTAGTGACTGCATCACAAATGTTACAATGAATTAAGTTATTCCAGAATTTGGGAAATGAAGGAATGGGTGTCTCAAAATTCTGGACTCATAAGCAGGTTTCACTATTTACCTTTATTTCATTAAGAGTTCAAACTGCATGACATGAAGTAATATTGTGGGGTTGTGAGTTATTAATCACTGACTTCACATGCCCCCATAGGAAAAAGTCAAATTGGGTGAGACCCAAACCTTTTCTTGATCTGTATAGTCACTCATTTTCTTCAATTATCTGAAATCGGAAGAAAGTTTTAATTAACCCCAAATACCTATAAGTCTGGACTTTTGAGACACCTTGTATATGTTGCAATCCTGATTTTTTTTAATATAGAAAAGGCCATACACAAGATTTTTACTGGAAAGCGATCTGGGAAAGTGCCAAAGTGACAGAGTGTACTGTGTGGGAAGTGTAGGACTCAAGGAAGAAAGAGGTACAAGGGACTCATACTTTAAACACAGTGAAAGGGAAACACCATGCAATTGCATAGAAAGATTTTCGTATTTGAAGTTTTGGAGGGTCAGCAGTGGACATGTTTGGCTCCACGTTTAAGCCTAAAAGAAGCCATCCACACACAGCTGTTGAGAGTTGTGGCCAAGCCAATTCCTCCACGTCCATTTTCACTTCTCTCACCCTCTTCCAGGGGCAGAGAGTCGCGGAAGACATCTTGAAATATGTGTCCTACCAGATACCCCACGTAGTAGTGCCCATTCTCATCCAAATTCACGTTGCAATAGAATTCTTCCAAATGGGATGACATGGTGTTCGCTGAACGAGTCTCTACGGGGGAGAATCGGCTCCCGCTGTTTCTTTTATCAGGTACAAAGCTTTCATGACCACTGTCGCACCATCGCACCAAAGGAGAACGTTTCACAAAAGCAAACGTAAGAGTTAAAAGTCGAGAAGGAGCTGGGGAAGAACTTTCTCCAAGTGTTCTCCTTCCACTTGGGAAGCATTCTGGGTCTTCGCCTGATGAGCTGCTCTCATCGCCCCTTCACACACGAACACCTTCAGGAATTCCGTCACCAACTGCAAGGCATCCGCAGTCATGCGAGTCTTCGTCTCCTTGTAGCCCATCTTCAACATCTCTTCCACGGTCTGGGCCTTGAAGTTCCACTTTACTCCAAAATTTTTCTTCTCCTCTTCCATAGTGAGGGAAATTGGATGGGATGTTTCATGGATCTGCGAGAAACAGTGTGTATGCATTGAATCTTTCTCATCGCCACGAAACTGTCCCAACGAGAAGCGCTTGACATGACTCGTAGTCATGGGAAAATTACAGGAGTACACTTAATTGCATGATTAAGCCTGTAATTACAATGTAAGTAATTCAGAATAAAATTATAACATTCTATTTTTAAATTACGCAACAGAATTACGTTAATTTTATTAAATGAATGTCCTTCTGAAACTGAACTATGCTAAAGGTAGCAAAATAAATTCGAATCTTGCATGAACCAATTATACATATCATAGGTGTACAGATATTGCACCTACGGAATTTACTCTAAAACAGAACAGATGACAAGGAGACGCTACGAGTGGAAGGTCCTTTTCGTTGGACATTCCTGGTTAGCGAGGAAACACCTTTGTGAAAACGAGCCAGCGAGAGAATAAAAGCGGAATGGGGTGAGACTAAATGGGATAGTGATTAACCCTTTGTTGCATAAAAGCAAACTACCGATGATAACTTGAAATTTTGACATGCTCTCACTTTTGCATCACAATTATAGAAAAAAACGCTTACCACGCATGATACTTGCATCCCCATTAGCATACATCGATGAAGCACTCTAGTTCGTTTATATTAAATAATGAGGGAGACCCACACTGATGGCAAGAGGATAGCATATCGAAGGAAAAAATGTAGGAGACACTGGAGTGTGGCAGGTGATATCGTCTCTGATTTTATTCTGATAGCTAAGATATCCGCAAACGTGACCGGCGCTTTCGTCGCGGACAAAACGTCGCAAGTCCATTTCGTCGTTGCAGTATTTTGTCACAGACCCAGATCGTCGCACATGCACGGCGAGGCACTAGCTTACAGACAAGGGTAAACAAATTTCACAGAAAAGGAAGGGGTATCTGATTCCTATCACTTGGGGAGGGGAAAGCAAGGTACTGTATATACAGTGTTTTTCACTTGACTTCGACACCCATGCATGAGGAAGGTCCCATGCACGCGTGTCTGAGTCAAGCGAAAAATTGTCTAACTCAAGTGAAAAACACTGTAGATGCGAAGCATCAGGTGGTGACGACAGCTCAAATAGGCGCCATGTTTAGTCCAAGCCCAGCCTGCCTTCCCATTCTCTCTCTCTACAGCCACGAATGTAAACATTTTTGCTTGTGGCAAAGAGGGGGAAAACTGGAAAAATAGGCCTATCGACTTTCCCAGTTGGGACCTCCCCTCTTTCATCTCAAAATGCGTTGATGTTCATGAAAACATGAATTACGGTCGTGCCGACATGACTCTTCCTCCTGCCTTATATCAATGCTCCATCAACAGTGGGTTGGTTAGATTTAAGGTCAGGCAGGTTCATCTGCCACTCTCATAAGGGCCTACCAGAAAATGACTGATGGGAGTGACAGATCTGTGCCTAGCCTAGTATTGTAGGTGGCAGTTCCATCATCAATTTAATTGGATGAGAGAAGGGGCCATAAAATGCAGCTTTTAAAGTGACATTCCCGTAAATTTAGTCACAACTCATCACATATCCTTTCTCCATATGAATTTCCCCGCAATCCCCTGAAGAGTACAGCTTTTTTCATCTTGATTTGAGGATGAAGAAATCTATCTTCCCTAATTTGGCTGCATTAAAGAATGGAAAATAATATTGATGTTGCCACTAAGACAAAGGGTTTCTTGAACAGCAGACTGTTTTATACAATAATTAAATCTGGCAGCAGCTAGTACAGGATAAGGTGCATGTAAATTCCTTGACAGTTTGATTTTTAAAGAAGCAATTTTTACTCTACTCCAAAATATATTTGTAAGTGTGATGTGAGGGTGTCTTCAGTTGCCAGGTTTTCAGTTATCAGGGGCACTAAGGGGATCCAATTTCTAATATAATAGATTTCACCTTCTTGGTAGAATATAAATAGGAGCATCGTGCTTTCTAACGAGGAATGTAATGGATCTGCAACACTGATGTCTTAAGACATCTAAATGATGCAATGCATCCCTGCAGTTCCTTTCTTTCTTTCCATTCCTTATACTACAATGAACCCTAAAGAGCCCTACATTCGGTTGTTAATGGATCGCTTTAGAAGCGCTGATGGTAATTATCTGTTGCCTGTTCTTCAGGCATTTACAGACTTTTTGAGTACATTTCCCCTTACTCAGTAGTTTTCACCTTCCTCAGAAATATTCTATTGTCAATGGCATTAATACTTTACTTTTTCATCATTCAATGTGATCACAAGATCATCTATCACAATGACATTGAAGAAATATTTAAAATCAAATAAAACCACAAAAGTAACAAGAAGCACCAAGCAACAAAACATTTGGCAAATTATAAAGCTACACTACAGATACTATCCAATCAATTAACTCGTATTTAATATTTAACTGCCACAAATAAAGTTAATATTAGGAAAACTGCAATGAGCAAGACCAATGAAGTCCTAGGCCCGACCAAAAAGGAATTTAAAAGCTTAGTGCAATCCAAAAAAAAGAGAATAAATACTGGACTGCATATCACCAAGGCCTAGGCCCGAACAAAATGAGGATTTCAAAACTCAGTTCAATTCACGGTGTCTACGGCCAGGACCTTCCCACCTAAAATTCAATGCTTACCGATCACGTCTTTTTAGAATCTACGGGAGACTTGAACAAATGCAGCCCATTTCTGCTCCTGTTTGAGGAGTTAGGGACCAAACACCCTGGAATCTCAATGCAAAGTAGGAGGAACGGGCCCTCAGCAAGGAGTAAAGATAGCTCCATCCCAGCTTATCATTGTGCCTATGGGTCGTCCTTACCTGAGAGCTAGAGCGTCTTCGATTTACCTTGCCCTCTATCGGTATGCAGCGCCATCTAGCAGCATGGAAAAAAAACTATTTTCCTGAAGAACCTCTCCGTCAAATATAATCTGAATCTGACTTTCCCTTGGAAAGTTATAGTCAAAGAAAATAGGGACGTGACTATAATAATCATGTATCACTGAAAATCGAAAGAGCCAGTTATGAACCTAGACCTGTTTCTCAGTGGCAAATGTTTTGATGCTGTTTGACTTCGTTTTGAGAGCCCTTTCAATGACCAAAGTTTGGTGAAAATCTGAAATTATCACTTCGGTAGTGTCCCTTGTAAGAACGAAATTATTTGAGCTTGCGTTTCTGAGGTTCGATGAAAGTGGTTCCTTGTTAGTTTCATCGTAGAACAAAAAATGGTTCCTAACCGTTTGCAAATGAAGGCAAAATTGTTCGAGGCTCTGTCAACGGTCACAATGACAAACTTGTCCTGAACCTCTCTAAGAAGAGTCTTAAATTCTCTAAGAGGATTTAGGTCCAAAGTGCCTTTCTTATCAATGATATTGAATGACTTTCTGCATTCCGAAAGAGGTTTAAGAAGTTTATTTCTCCATGGAATGAAGGCAGCAGGAGGGTATGAAGTTCTGAAGGAAATTCCAGACACACACCTCTGAACTCCTGATGCAAGATCATCTATGAACGTCTCTTTATTCATTTGATGGTTAAAACGATATTTACCTCCCATTTTGAAGACGTCAAAAAGCCTGAAGAATATGAAGAATATGAAGATTCCCAGTCATAATATGGTGATGTTGTTCGCTTAAATCTGAGTCCGGGAAGTTCACAATGACAGGAAAGGTCTTTAATTTTGTCGCGGTCTAAGGTTTCGACAAATTTCCTATAGTTAAATAAATTAAATATATAAATATGTAAATTAAATGAAGCAATCGCAGTGCAATTAAAGGCGCAATACATCCCCCTGCGACTTTGTTTAATGAAAAGAAATACCATGATAAGAACGCATTCAAATAATTGATATAATAGAAATTAAGCAATTGAACCCGTTTTCATAGATCATATTGAACTGAGCCAATCACAACCGACCAACATAAGAAAATTCATAACATTTCGATACGTAACTGTAACAGAACGAATTCCATGTCGTTGAATAGATATTGGAATGCTTTTTCATATGACACACGAGACATACTTTTATCAGGACCCCTACATCGTAAAAAATGAGGTCGAAGTTTGCTAAAATCACGAAAATTGGAATATTCGACTTTCTTTTTCGACATGTGGGGATGGAAATATCCAAATGATACTTACATCATAAAACAGAGCCAGAAGTGGACTCTTAGCATTGCGATTTCGGTTTTGTTACGTTGACTCCCACTGCAGATAATGGGGTAGTGAAATTATAAGAAATTAGTATATTTTGAAGAAGGATATGCAATTCAAGTCTCGGGAAACCCTTAGTTCGTGGCCATAATTGGATTCTACTATTTCAGACCTTTCATATGAGCTATTCTATGCATTTCTAGCTGGCATAGTTTGAGAGTTATGAAATTCGCCCGAGTGGTTACATGTGCTTGAAAACCAATATTTTCGATATTCATATACCGTGTACCAACGGGAATAACATTTAAATATTTTGGAGCTTCATACATGAAGAATTAAGCGAACCTTCAAAGACCTGATCTTTAATATTGTCTGTCACCAGCCAACAGAAGCCTACTTTTTGGGGCAATGCTGAAGCTGCCCAGGAATGGAATTCCTGCAAGAGGACTTGCTGATCACCTTTATAAGGAGGTATGATGGACACGATTACCTACAAACGGTGGGTGTCCACTTACAGGCCAAATCTGGAGAAAGTTGTTTCTTCAGCAGAGGTGTTTGTGGCTAAGTTGCAGTCGAAGCTAACACAGCTGAAGACCCACGATTTCATTGCAAGCCAACAAGCTGCATATCTATTCAAGAGAAAGGAAGAACTCAAACCAGGGGAGGCGATTGTCCTTGGTGATTTCTCAATAAAGTATGGGTCATTCCACGCCGAATCGACCAGCATGTGATTTCAACTATCTCGGAATATGACAAAAATCGGCATACGCGTATAGGAATCGTTTTAAAGAGACTAATTTCAAGCAATTCTTTATCTCTCCGACATACGTCCAGATACATGTGTTTTAGTGAGACATTAATATCGCTCTCACCTTGCACACGGACTGGAATTAAGAAACTTTTTCTGCAATAACTTCTCCACTACTCCAGATATAAACTTTATTCTGGTGTCATTTTAATTGTTTGATAGCCGTCTTTAAATCGGTTGCAGACACTATTCTCCTAAACAAGTGCCAACCTGGAATTTGGCATCGTTACTGTTTAGGAGCTTGCTACTACCCTGAGGGTCAGCACCGGCAAGGCTCATGAGATTCTCCATGAGCATCTCGTTATGACGAAGGTTTCTGCCAGATGGGTGCCTCGCCTGTTGGGACCTGAACAAAAGGTCGATCGAATGGAAACGTGTTGAGAGCTACTTCAACTTAGCCAAGAATACGAGTTTTTTTTTTCGACCGTATTATCACTGTAGTTGAGACGTAGTTTTCCTACTTCGATCCTAAGACCAAATCATAATCTAGGGAGTGGCGCCGACCTGAAGGAGGACCTCATTTGAATGCTGGAATTGTTCCCTCTTTGGTGAAGGTTATGATAACGGTTTTATGGGATTGCAAAGGGATAATGGGGATCGACTACCTACCCAAGGGAACCACAATGAATGCAGAATACTATTCCTATACGATTTTGGACTCTCTCTGACAGGTTCTTATTGAAAACGTTCGGGGAAGATCCATACACGGCCACTTCTTCACCAGGACAATGGAAGTCCCTCTCCGCGCGCTTATCTAAAGCAGCCATGGTAGAATTGAGGTGGGAATTGCTCCCGTAACCGCCCTACACTGTAGATCTGGCTCCCAGTGACTACCACCTCTTCAGTGAGATAAAGACCCTAGTAGCCAATAACATTGAATCAACATTGATTCAACGTTGATTCAACATCCGGACGTTAAACCAACGTTGAATCAATGTTGATTCAATGTTATTTGCTACTAGGGGAAGCCTCTGCGAGGAATGCGTTTTCATTCCATTAATGCAATGAAATAACTGAGCAGGTGAATTCGAAACACTCCATGAATTTATTTTTCTGACGGCCTAAGGAAACTGACTCCACCCAGGAGGAAGTGGGTCGAACTCAGAGATTATGCCGAAAAGGCGCAGTATAATGGTGATTAATAAAGAAATTCTCAAAAATTTCTGAATGAAATTTCCTCGTAGATTCTGAGCTGGCTGCTCCACTTTTCGAAAATCTTCCAAAAACGCATTTCCAAAATTTTAAATAATTACTCGAATATGCGCTGTATTAAGTGAACGTTTTTCAACGGAAAACTGCTTCCTTCCTTTGCACAACAGTGCAAGAGAAAGTAGTACCCATTAATAAAAGATGAAGGGAAATTGTATTGATGCAAAGCCAATGTAAATCCTATGTCTAAAGGCTCGCGCACTGAGCAAGTTCATGAAAAAGTATTTTCAAGTGAATTTTCACGGCTTAACAAGATGTCGTACTGCTTGCTTTACACTGCAGTAAGTAGTTTACTGTCAAATCCAATTTGCCGATCCGATTCGCCTTTTTTAAATTTGATTTTTTCTGTAAAAAACCATGACGAAGTCGGAAGTTACCAATTGAAACTCAGAGAATCGCAGGCCTTAGACATATTGTCATAAGTATGGATGCTTTCACTGAATGCAAGAGTGAAACATGCATTCCAATCGGGGGTTTCCATTTTTTCTTGGAAAGGAAGGAAATTTGCGAATGATGAACAGGAGGATAGAGAGCGGTCGTCCCTCCCCCGCCCCCCTCCCCCCGCGGTCTTTTGTGATAGCGCTAACGAGATGCAAGGAAAAACAGGCATCGCGATTCGCACCATCCAACAAATATTTCCGCCCGTGATTTATTATTATTATGATTATGATTATGATTATGATTATGATTATTATTATGATTATGATTATTATTATGATTATGATTATGATTATGATTATGATTATGATTATGATTATTATTATTACTATTACTATTGTTTTTTGTTTTATTTTAATCTCTCGGAAATGAAGTTCCGAGGCAATTTTTTTACTTCCGCAGGATATTTCGCGAGATTTCGCCTTTTTCCCCCCGCCAACTTCAAACTCGCGAAAATTAAAACGCGCGCGAAAAATACAAAAGTCTCTTATCGCGAATTTTCGAAACCATCAACAGCGAAATAAATAAAAAATAAGGTGGCTGGGAAATTGGCTCCCGGCCAATGGCTGCAACTGCAACGATTGGCTTCGAGCCAATTGCTGCAATTGCAACCGCAACGAAGAAATCGCTGCAGTGAAATGCGTCAAAAAATCCCTAACGTAACGTAACGTAACGGAAATGTGACGAAAAAACCTGGAATTCTCCACGAGCGAGAGGAAAAGGGGCGAAGCTACGTGGTCGCAGGGCCGAAAGTGGGCCGAAAATGAGGTGGGCCGAAGGGGTTGGAACGTGAATTCGAAGTGAGAATGAAATTTGGGGCAGAGCGGATTTGGCTGAACGAAAATGATTTATGGGACCTGAAAATAGGTCAGATTCTGCGCTCGAGATTAACAAGATTGCAATGCGGGTTTAACCGTTCGGGAAGCAAAAAGAGGCTAACGTTAAGGCTAGGCCTAGGCACTCGCTAAGCCTATAACACGACGCGGCGGGAGCAGGAAGGCGACTGACGAGGGTGAAGGCAAGGGGGAAGGGCTCGAGGGGCTTGAGGAGGGAGGAGCCTGGGCCGGGGTTCAGGCCATCGCCGTGCATCAGGCCCTGCAGGTCCGATCGGGTCGTGCCGGGTCGTTGGCAGGAGGAAGTCGTGGAGCGGGCGTCGAGGGGGAGACAGCCGAAGGGCCCGGCGTACATGGAGGTGGATGGACGCGAAGGATGGCAGGTTCACTGGGAAGGGGCTAGCAGCGCGGCCATGATGTCGAAGCAGTGATGTTTTTCTGACAGTCAAAGTTTTGCCTAATAAAACGTTGAAATTTTGACAAAATTCGACAGAAAGCATTTAATTATGGTCACAAAGCAATAATATATACTTTTCTAGTTGTTTCAGTGAAATTTTTGGCAGATGTGGTTCCTATTCTGTAGCGTGCAAAGCGATAGCCTTCAGAGCTTTCCCAACACTGGAATCGAATTGTCATTCTAACATGGCGGATTTGGCCGACGGGTTACCGATTCTCGCTCTCCTGGAGTTCTGACTTAAGGTTGTGGTTAGTGGCGCCCTTCGTGGGTTGCACTTGCGCTCGGCGCGGCGTCGTTCGCGATTTGCGGTAGGCCTAGCTGTCCCGCGGCGTTTCCTCGATGAATTTCCCGTTTTTGCCTGCAGATCTGACCCATTCCGGAAAGAAAAGGTTTGAGAATGGCAGGACCGGAAGCGTCAGCGGGAGGGGACGACTCTCTCTACCCTATCGCAGTTCTTATCGATGAGCTGAGAAATGAAGACGTCCAGTTGAGACTGAACTCCATTCGGAAATTGTCGACCATCGCCCTTGCCCTCGGGGTCGAGAGGACTCGCAGTGAATTGATTCCATTCCTGACTGATACCATATATGATGAAGATGAGGTGCGCCGGGAGATTTCGTCTTTGTGATCAAACCGGTCTAACTTTTGCTTTAAGCTCATTTCTCACGTATCCTCGTTTTTCAGGTTCTTTTGGCATTGGCCGAGCAGCTGGGTTCCTTCACAACATTTGTTGGAGGACCAGAGCATGTCTCTTGTCTCCTCACACCGCTGGAGGCACTGGCCACAGTCGAAGAAACCGTCGTACGCGACAAGGCCGTGGATTCCTTGAGGTGAGTTGGTCCTTTTACGCGTGCACATTTTTGGGAGTCGCAATATTTTCTGCCCCTGTCAAGTCTGTGGGCCTGAATTCTGTTTGAAGCATGCCATTAGACACTAGTACAAGAAAGTGTTTCTGCACTGTAATACTTCTTTGTTCATGTAGAACGTTGGCAGCACAGCATTCGACCGCTGACCTCGAGCAACACTTCATTCCCCTGGTCAAGCGTCTCTCCACAGGAGACTGGTTCACATCTCGCACGTCTGCTTGTGGACTCTTCAGCGTCGCCTACCCCCGCGTCTCCAACCCAATCAAGGTCTGCTCTGCCTCTACTAAGAAGTTCACCCAATCATGGATAATAATTGCAGAATGATAACTTCAAAACTTCATCTTTTCAAAGATAACTTTTCCCCAATTTTCAATTTCTATGTATAGGCTTGCTGAACTTGGTTTATTTTATTTTCTATTTTTATTTTGGTAAATGAAGTAATGTATTGTGGATTTGAGGTTAGATTTGAGTGCTCGTATAGTGGATCATAGAATGGAGTGGTATATTTTGTGAGTAATTGGCATTCTTTTCAATGCATCACTCATACATTTTCTCATTATTGTTTTGACTGTCTAATGACATTCCACACAGTGGAAGCTTACTGCTGGATTGAGCTTTACTTATCTTACTCATTTGTGATAAAGGTCTTCTTTTCCCTCTCCTGGTGAAGATTTGTATGTTACTCTTTCATGCATCCCCCTCGCAGGCAGACTTGCGGTCCCACTTTCGGCAGCTGTGCCAGGACGACACCCCGATGGTGCGTCGCGCTGCATCGAGCAAGCTGGGCGAGTTCGCACGCGTAGTCGAGCTGGAGTTCGTGAAGGTGGACCTGATCCCCATGTTCGTGAACCTCGCCCAGGACGACCAGGATTCCGTGCGGCTGCTGGCCGTCGAGGCCTGCGTGTCCATCGCCAGCCTCCTCACACAGAGCAGCACTGAAGACACTGCAACACACGTCATGCCCACCCTCAAATCTTGTGCCGAGGACAAGTCCTGGCGTGTCAGGTGAGACCGGTTCTCCTTTCAGAAAGACCCATTTTCATTATTGATCGATGATGCACTTCAGATCAGTGCACACCACACATTAGCTCAATCCTTGATTTTTTTGCCTAGCATTAACATTACTGCAATTTTTTGGGGATTTAACTTGATTGAATTGTTATGGAAGGCATCCGTATTGCACTTTCTGTCAACTGAAGGTTAATGGTATTCCAATGTACCTATTGTATAGCTTCAGTCTCAATTTAAATAGCTTGGGATTCTAAACCAAAATCAGTTTTTGCATTCCACTGAAGGGCTTTGGGGTGAAAATTTTCTTTCTATTATTTTATCTTGAAACTTAGAATAATTTTTCACTTCACTTTTTGGTCAGCTTTTTGGTCTGGGTGTAAGCCATCAGTCAGGCCTGGTGGTTGTATTTAGTTTGGGTAAATGTTTATTTGATAATGAAAGGCAGATGGTAGTATGAGTTGGCCTTCTTCCAGGAATGTAAGGACATGTTTATTTCTGTAATTGTTGCTTTTAAGTCCTTTGAATTACTCTATACAGTTGACTCTTGTACTGGGGTTTGCATTCCTGAAAATTGCCACATGTTGAATACACATAAAACAGGAAACTCATAACATGTAATAATAGGGGTTGCATTCCCTAATGCCCAAGATTTAATTTATATTGAAATGTCGAAATCTTGCACGTTCAGGAATGCAACCCCCATGATTAACGAGAGTCAGCTGTACACTAAATCTGAATTGCTATGCTGTCATGAGTATTGTCTGCTTCTCATTTGTTTCCATTACTTGCATCAAGCAATAGGCTAAACTAATAAAATCCAGAAGTGAGTAATATAAAAATTGAAAATATGTGATAAGGACATAAGTCTTGTTTTGAAATGTTGCCATTAACATTTTAATTCTTTTAGTTCAATTAAACTTTTTTTCCAATGCTGTGGAAAACTCATGACCATATTTTAATTCTTAACTGTTTCTCCTCTAGGTATATGGTGGCTGACAAGTTCTCAGAGCTACAGGAGGCTGTTGGCCCAGAACTGACCAAAAATGAGTTGGTGACCCCCTTCTGCTCCCTCCTGAAGGACGTCGAGGCCGAAGTGCGCGCCGCAGCTGCCGCCAAGGTGCGGGATTTCTGCCAGAAGCTGAAGGAGGATGCGCGGGAGTCGATCATCATGAACCAGATCCTGCCCTGCGTGAAGGAGCTGGTGTCGGACCCAAACCAGCACGTGAAGTCGGCCCTGGCAAGCGTCATCATGGGGCTCTCGCCCATCGTCGGCAAGAACAACACCATTGAACATCTCCTCCCCCTTTTCCTCAACCAACTAAAGGATGAGTATCCTGAGGTACTACCCTTCCCGGTCTTTTCAGAGCTCATTGTAGGTTACTTTGAGTAAAGAAATGGATGACAAAATTTGACTATGTGCATCTGTGAAAATGGATTGCATTGCCATGGAATTTATCAGCCAAAGGGAGAAGAATTCATATTGGAGGAAATTTCAAAGGCCTGAACATTTTAAAGGCATGGTTCAATTGATTTCAAGGCAGTTGAGTCAATAGAACTAGGCCATGTCTCTTCTACATCTATTGTGCCATGTCTTATCAAGTCTTATCTTATCAAGAAGCACATGACCAGCATAGGGAAAGCTGTGAGGAGTTGTATCTTGGAATGTCGATTCATTTTTATTATCTCAGTATTGGCCCAGAGTCAGTCATCCCTGTCTATCTCTTTACTGCTATGATACTGGATAGGTTGGTTTTTGCAAACTTTGCATGATTTGATCTCTGGAAAGTTGATCTATGAGGATTTTTTTCACCTGTTTTGGGCCTTCATGGCTTCATGTCACTCGCATTCACCTCTCAAATGACACTAAACTTTGGTTTGTGGCCTTGTGAACTGCTTCTATTGTATTTTATAGACAGCAAACCAAATGCATGTAATACCCTCATTTGAAAATGTAGTCTTTGTACACATTCACATCACAAAACCCTCAAACTGACCTCTGAGTCCATGAGACTGTCTATTACAATCAATTTTTCAACTTCCCGGGACAGAACACCATGTACCTTCAAGGGAAAGTCAAACTGGCTATCTTCAGTTATGTTTGACCTGTAAGATACATGAACAAATTATGACATTTTGTTCTTGAGTTTGTTTGGTGCTGAGGACACAAAACACCATATTTTAGTATCCTAAAAATTAATCCAATAAGAATTGGAAGCATTCAAATCAGGTATTGATATAGGATAGTAAGAGTAAAGGGGCTATTATAAATGAGTTATGAGTGAAACTTGCAGGTTTGCTGATTTGTTTTTGCTCTGACTGCCTTGCACCAATGTGAATGTTCTCATTCTTAATCTTCTTTTTGTCTTCAGTGGCCATTAATTGATTGCACATGCATTGAAGTGATTGGTATTGGAAATGAATTTCATTCAGGTTCGTCTTAACATCATCTCCAACCTGGACTGCGTGAATGAGGTGATTGGGATCCAACAGCTGTCCCAGTCTCTCCTCCCAGCGATCGTAGAACTTGCAGAGGACCAAAAGTGGAGGGTGAGACTTGCCATCATTGAGTACATGCCCCTGCTCGCAGGCCAGCTCGGGGTCGAGTACTTCGATGAGAAGCTCAACTACCTCTGCATGGCATGGCTCGTGGACCACGTCTATGCCATCCGCGAGGCTGCCACCCAGAACCTGCGCAAGCTGGTCGAGAAATTTGGCTCTGAGTGGGCCAAGAGCACCGTCATCCCCAAGGTGGTCAACATGGCACGGGACCCGAACTACCTGCACCGTATGACCTGTCTATTCTGCATCCAAGTCCTGGCCGAGGTCTGTGGACCCGACGTCACTGCGAAGCACATGCTGCCGACCATCCTGACCCTGGCCGAGGACCCCGTGGCGAACGTCCGCTTCAACGTCGCCAAGACCCTGCAGAAGATCCACAAGACCCTGGAAGCATCTGCGATGCAATCCCAGGTGAAGCCTTGCCTGGACAAGCTGAATAACGATGCCGACTTCGATGTCCGCTTTTATGCCTCCGAGGCCATAGAATTCATTGCAAATGACAAGTAAGGGATTTTTGTTTCCTGTCTCTCCCCTCCTCTCTAATCATTGCCGATTTCTGTACCCCATTTTCATGTTTACATTTTCCTGTCGGTCTCATCTGGCAGTCCTGTTCTGTAGACAGTTGATGTTTGTCTCATTCCTGGATCCTCTCCTCTGAAAATAGCCTCCGTGATTGGTTTGATGGCTCGACGGCATTGGTTCGAATGATTATATAATAAAAGAAATAGGTGATTGTCTGGTAAATGTCAACTTCCTGTTTTTTTTCTGAGACTTATCTTCTCCAAAGGAGTTAACAACTTAAGGAATCAGGTTTCTAAAGTTCTGAACTGTTCCATCATTGGCACATGCAGAGGAATCAGTGGTTCAGTTCCCTAGTCTTCCACCCTTGTAGAGAGCAACAGATCATTCCCTGGATCAGGATTGTTGCCACCCTCCTCTCTCCTTTCACTTTTGTACGTTGGCTGCCAGGGAGAGTAAAGAGATTAGTGGTGTCAGCACTCAAACAATGGCTATACTGTAATATTTATCCAATTTATCCAGAGTCAAGGGTGGCCCCATGTCAACTGTGTTCTTTAAGTGTTGCAAATATCAAGAGGAATTGGGTGGTGGTGTGGACCTCAATCTGCTGGTCATTGCTGGTGGAGTCACCAGAATGAACTAACTTGTATAATTCATATTTGTTTGTGTGCTGCACAAACATGTTCTAAGTATCTTGGTGAATTTCAGGTGCTACTAATTCAGTTATAAACTCTGGAGTAGCCCTAGAGTTTATTTTATATTTATTTTAGCCCTCCAAGGTAATTAGAAGTAATATAGTCCTAATGCTCCAGATCTTAAATTTGGGAACCGGTAAGTGGATGGGACATTTCTGTGCATGGAATGATATTTAAATATTCCCCTTTTTTTATAACCCTTTTTTCTGTCTCCGGAAAGTTGATTTGTGCAAATTGGATCTTGGAAACCTGTGAGAAAAGGTTTCTATCCAATGATAAAGGCCCCAAATTAAATTACTCTGGCAGAAGAATATGAGTAACTCCTCTTACGCAAGCATATAATTCCCTTGACCTAATTATCAGCGGTGATACTTAAATCCTTTAATCCCCCGGATAATGCTTCAGCCTCACCCTGAGTATCTGAAAAGAGCAGACGAGGTCCTCGTCCACGTTCACGATGCCACCCGCGTTGTCGAACTTCCCGCAGTAATTCGCGCCGAGAAGACGGTCACGAGGCGGCGGTTCGAGAAGAACCCGTAACCGTCTTCGACCACCTTCGAATGTAAAAAAAAAGCCAAATCAGGAGAAATACGAGGGAAAAAAAAATTACCCGAGTCTCACCTGATGTCCCCGAACGATGAGATCCACCGGAACTTGAAGTCCTTGAGCACGTCCTCGCTGAACGTCCTGCGACAAATTAATTAAATGGCTTAAATGATGCCTCCAGAATGTTCAACTGATTTTTGGGGGTCTCGCTTCCGCGACGGAAAAAAAGGAACAGCTTCGAGGAAATCAAGACATGTATAGTAATCGTAATGTATTATATGCACACGTCGCACGTAATGTTAATTTGGATTTTTGTATTCGGCTTCTGAAGAGACGAAGAAAATGCGGGGCGAACGCGGTCTGGCATCAATCAGGTTTCAATCCGCCAACCATCCGACCGGACTTCGATCCAAATAGAATCCATCGGTCGTTGGGACTCCAAATGCTGAAAACCCAGAGGAACAAGGAAAAAATCACTTTCGTGCGCATCTCAATTGCGGTTGATTTTCGGTGAGGAATGGGAAGTCAGGGTTACCTGAGGGAGCGAAGCATTCAAAAATGTGGTCCATGCGAACTAGCAGGACTTTCTTCTCGTACTTCTGCAGAATGATCTCTCGAGAAATCCATGTGAATCCCTTCTATATCGCTTGACCTATATGAGTCGTGACCGCCAATATGAAATTATTTTAGCCACAAATATTCTTGAACGTTTTTCCACGCGGAAAGGACGAGAGGCTTTATTGCAAGGTTTCCGACAAGAGGGACTCCAAGAAAAGCAAGCCGTGACGTCACGCCGAGTGGGCCTCCGTTCGAATATGCTCTTCCGCTTCCTGCCTCCCTTCGCTGGAGCCCTCCTCGGGCCACTCATTTCGTACGAACGGAGAGAGACGCCCGCCCGCTTCCTGCCTCCTCTCGCTGGAGCCCTGCTGGATGCAGCGATTTAGTATGGGTCGAAGGAGACCCCCGCCCGCGCCTCTCCCCAGTTTCGTATCCTCCTCCTGCGGCTGAAACACGTCAGAGAAACAGTTTTTCAGAACGGTTTCTAACTGGCTGTCTTCCAAGTTAAGGAACGAATCCAGTCTAAATCGCTCGTTGAAAAAGGAAACTGGAATTCCTTCCTACAGTCCAACCAGAACCTTGAATTTCGTCCACTTAAATTATGAAGATTGAGATTCATGCACAAATTCAACAAATTAAAGAGACGAATCAAATCAACCTTCCATCGCGATGGACCAATCCCCACTCAACCTCGACCAGCCAAGCAGCCAATCCGGACGGGCCCTCGGCCAGACTCACCCTGAGGATCTGGAAGGAGCACATGAGGTTCGCGTCCACCGACATCATCGCCCCGGCGTTGTCGAACGTCCCGCAGTAATTCGGCGCCGAGAAGATCGTCACCAGCTGCCGGTTCGCGAAGAACTCGTAGCCGTCCTCCACTACCTACTTCAAGCCAAATTCTATATGAATTAATATCAAAATTATTCCACAGCAATTCGTGATTAATATTTTGACTTTTTCCCTTATTTCTCGCTGAGAATTTTTTTGCCTTTCAGATTGTTTTTTTTTTCTTCCACAAAATTTAACTTTCCCTAGTGCAAATATTAATATCATGCTTTCCGATATTTAAATTGTACTCTCCATTATTTGTTCTTGGCTTTCTCTCTATTTCACTTTCCACACCCGTGACCTCGCAAATTTGTAATCAAATATATTTGGAGAAATTCCGGTGGACGTGACCTGATGCGCCCTGGCGACGAGGTCGAGGCCGAACCGGTCGAGAAAGGCACGCAGGGCGTCACACCCGAACGTGTAGCTCACGCCCCGGTCGCTCGGCGTGAATCCGGGATTCTCCTAAACCGAAAAAATTAAATTATTTCCTTTAGAAGATGGCGTTCATATTTTAGCAAAAAGCTCGCCGGAAAGATTCAGAATGACAAGAGTGTGACACAAGCGAGCCAGGAAAGTGACGTCATCGGCATGACGTCACGACCCCCCCCCCCCCCCCCCCCCCCCCCC